AGCATTTGCCCCCGAAATCGATACAACTACCCAGACTATCCTCCTCGCAGCCTCCAACCACGATCTCGCCGCTCTCAAACCCCTCCTTCGAGTACCCGGCGCTGCTTCAGTTCAGGATCCCGAAACTGGTTTCACACCTCTCCACGCCGCAATTGCATCTTGTGAAGATTCCCCCTCTACTGAAGATTTAGAGGCTGCGAAAGCGACTATTAAAGAATTATTTTTGTCGGGAGCTATATGGAATGATTTAGATACGAACAATGAGACACCTGGATGTCTGGCGTGGAGATTGGGCAGGAAGGAATTATATGAATTGGTTGTGGAAGCTGGTGTGAGAGCGGAGGTTTTGATGAACTTGATGGGTGGGTATGAGGAGTTGAGTGATGGGGATGAAGACGAAGAGGAGGACGAAGTAGAGGGCATGGAGATAGTTGTAAATGAAGAAGCCACAGACGAACCAGCAGAAGAAAATGAGGCAGAAGAGCCAAAGAAAGACGTCAATTCCGCAGATTATCTCAAAAGCAAACTCGAATTTACAGAAGATGCACTTCTCGACGCTGATGCTAACGGTGTAATGATGGCATGGGAAACATCCATCATGCAACGTACTGTCGATCTTCTTATCCCCTCCTCTTCACCTCCATTACGAATCCTCAACATTGGTTTCGGAATGGGCATAATAGACACGATGTTCGCATCCACGAAACCAGCCAGCCACCATATAATAGAAGCCCACCCCGATGTTCTTACACACCTACAAGAACCAGGTCATAAATTTGGAAAAGAATGGGAAGCATCTGCACCCGAAGAAGGAAGCTATAAAATTCACGCTGGTCGCTGGCAAGAAATTCTACCAAAGCTGCTTGAAGAAAATCTTCAATTCGACGTTATATATTTCGATACATTCGGAGAATCTTATATGGAGCTTAAGAAATTCTTTTCCGAATACGTCATCGGCTTATTGTCTGAAACTGGAAAATTTAGTTTCTTCAACGGACTAGGAGCAGATAGAAGAGTTTGCTATGATGTGTATACCAAAGTATCGGAGCTGGATCTGTGCGATGCAGGATTAGATGTTGATTGGGTTGACGTGGAAGTCGAGGAGCTTGGGGGAGAGGGTGAGGGTGAATGGAAAGGCGTAAGAAGGAGATACTGGGTTTTAGACACATATCGTTTACCAATCTGTACTTTCATGGGATGATATAAAGAGCAAACTGCGGAAAAGCTTAGATGGAAAGGAAAATAGAAGTTGATACCCTCTGACCAGTTTCAATACAAATATCTAGTTGCTATATACTACATGGCAATCTATTATTATGAGATTTCCTGTACATATAGGAATTCTCGTTTAGCTTCTCGTAAAACTCGTGCATAAAGCGCTGTTTAATAACATCCTCTCTCGATTTGCTAGTATAGATTCCGTTATCAAATTCATTTAGGCTGTAGATGTATTGTGCACCTCAGAGCCTCTCCGCCAAAAGATCTTTTCTCGCATTTCAACCCTTCTTTACATTACACCATATTTTATTCTTCACACATTTCCGTTTGTTGCCAATCGTAACTCCTGTCATATTACCACTAGACTCTGAGCTTATGATTAATAGCCCTTAGTGTTATTAGCAGATGTTCATTTCCCCTCAGTGCCCAAATAACAGCTTTCTGTTGGATATCTCAACATGGGGTAAGATTAGAGTATACTGTGAATAGCTCTCTAGTCTTCTTCTAGTGGTTATGATTCCTGCTTTTAATTGGACTTCCTGGTTGGCCTTAAATACCCAGAAGATAGTTGTTGCACGTCGCTAACCCCTGCAGTCTTCAATTAATTAGTATTAGTAGATGTTAGTTGATATTGATTGACGCTACTCGATCTTGGCCTCTTTACAGTGCTTGGCTAAATGGTGATGATCTCTGTTGCACGCCGTCAAACCCGGCATGTATAGTTAGATACTTATTAGTCGCAGTAGTATCCTCTGTTCTCCTCATAAGATAAGAGAATGGCCTATCAGAGAGTAGTAAAAGGATTTTCGCATGCCGTAGCCCCCTGTACGTTTGATAGATTGCTTTTGAGGTGAGATTTGAATTTTTCCTCTGACAACGTCCTTCGATGTTTGATTCGGTTGATAAAACTAGGCTTGGAATGTTGGCTTGTACTAGTCATCTTGTAGGAAATTGTGTTAAATAGACTCACTTTTCTATACATGTTGGCTATCTATGTCTCCTCGTGCTATGAGATCTCTCCTAATTCTTACTGGTAGAATGTTCCTGGAGATCTCTTCTGTTGCTTTGCATGCTGCAGAGAATATACCATGCAATGACGTTGCGATTTTTATTCTTGGAAATCTAATATTCTTCACGGGTGAATGGCCAGTCGCAATTTGAAAGTAGTACAACCATTAATGATCGATATTCTCAAATCACTTTCATCATATCATTGTTCGCATTCAGCATGATTCGAACTCTTTAAAATAAATGTGCATTGGTTAAGAATCTAAAATATGTAGACGACCACGACGAACTTCCAGGAATCGTGCTTCGGCAGACTCGGCTTCACCTGACCATTTGTATGACTGAACCTTAAGCTAGGAACTAGTTTGTCCTTAGTCCAGAGCTAACCGATCATATAATATATAAATCCCTCTCCCCTATGAATTTCATTCTTTTCTACTTATCGTTCATCGTAACATGAGAGTACACAATTCCCAGAACTTTCAGGCGCAAGTTTTCTTCTCTCTCAAGTGAGTGAGTCCCAAATCATCAAACATACAATGCACCTGCAGGGTTGGGCTTACTCAAGGCGTCATCGAAAACGAGAGAGAATGAAATGGGAATTGTGAGAAAATGACGTCTAGGGGCACATAGGTCTATGATGAAGAAAACCAGTCCATGGAGATAATCGTGCCGCGGATTATATGGCTCTGTGTTTGATATTCGTGAAAGCGGACAGATAACCTGGCTGTGTGATCCGAGGAGATATGACGTGGATTAATACTGGTTTGTTCCTGAGATCTGTTCTTTTTGTTCTATTTTGAGTTTTTTTTCTTGGATGCAAGGGCGCGGGAATTTTACGTCATATTTCTCTACAGGTAGATTTTGTAAGCCAGTTTACATATTCTCGGTTCCGAAGTTCTGCATAAAAAAAATGAAGACTAGTATTGAAACATCATAGAAATTGAGCACATTTCAAATGATTGATCATGCTCGACGTCGACACTGTACCGAATCCTAAAAGGGTTGAGCTCCAGTCGGCGAGACTGGTATGTCATTACAACAACTTTGGTAAGCAATCCAAAGTCATCCTGGAACTTGGACGAAAAGCGTGTTTAGAGATTTGAAATTACCTACAGATTTACCTTAAAACACTACCTAGGTAAGTTAACCGACCTGCATATAATATAGCCTAATCTGAGACCAATATTGCTGACCGACTCGAGTCTTTGTTATCTAAACCTCGCTAACGGAAGTCTAAATAGAGTTGAACTCAATGTGATTGAAATACGAGTCGATTCGAAAAACACAGGTTTAAAACCCGTAATTTCAATGTTCAGATGGGCAACAAAAACGATTCAATAACCACAATTCACCTCTATGAACGTGATTTGAACGTAGTGATCCGATATAAGATTTGATCTGCTATTAGCGTGTCACTTATTCGGTTAATCAAACCCGCCCATAACTTAGCGAACAAAAATTCGGCTAAAAATCACGCCATTGAGACCATCTCTAAATAAACTAGTAGCATTCGAAAGACTTCTACGTTTATCTGCAGCAAAAGCTTAAACATTAGTCTGCCCACTATTATCCTAAATTCCATAGCCGAAGCAGCAAAAACATTCTATAAGCCATTCTTTATCCTCTCCGTGATCTCTGGTAATGTGCGACACAATATTTGCCTGGTGCTTTGATTTAATCATTGTTGAATCCAGGATAAGGCCCATCCTGAGCTCTAATAACAGTGCTTTCTTTCCGCGTTCTTGACTTGCAAGAGCAGGAAATAAAAAGGATGGGTCATAAATATTAGGAAAGGAAGGTGGAATCGATGATGAGAATTATCAGTACTCATTGATTCGAGAATGCTCTAGATTTGGTTCGAAACCTAGATTTATCACCAGGCTAGAATGTTTGAGATCGGTATATGATAAACGCTGATGATTTCCAAGATTCTTTTACTTTCTTCGCAATTTTTGTTTTCAATACTACTCGAATTGCGATTGAATGTAAAAAGAATGTGGCCTTATCATGGCAACTAATTATTCGGCTTACATACCTAGTGAGCTGGGATAGTGCATGGATTGGGTTTATAGACTAGCATGCTCGATAATGAAGTTTTAAAATAAATCATGAAAGGATCAAACGTAGGTAATGCACTGAGTTTTGTATCTAGGTTGATAACTACGGAACGCTGATTTTCAAATAACCCACTTCCATCAAAAATTTAGTTTGCAATAGCTCTATAGTAGCTATACCAAAACCCCCAGCAAAGATACTCTACAGTTCCTCCGTGTCATTATTAAACGTACTCCTATTGTTGCCAAATAATTGAAAGAATAAGAAAGAAATCTCGATAAAGTCTTTGTCCCACCGTTATAATCAAAGAGTCTCTCGATTCTTCTGATAACAAAGACAGATTAAAAAGACAATGTTAACAAAGAGGCTCAAGCTCTTTGAACCTTAAAACTAGTATTTTGGAGTCTGCAGGTATCATATACCAAATCTGGAATCCACATATCATGCACTTGCACCTTGTGTTGGATCACTTAACTCGGAATTATCTTGACATTTCAGCGTGAATCAATATTTACATCAAGAGCATAGATCAAAAAGTGTCGTTCACAAAGGGGTTTCAATCACGGAAATAAGAACAGGGAATCGGATGAAATGGAATAAGTTGGTTTTTGTATTGAATTTTTGTATTGAATTTTTGAATTGAGATAAACCTACATTGAGACAATTGGAAGATAGAAAGTGACGGACCTGTCTTATCTCGGAAGAAACCACGAAACTTACCAAAGTCTTGCAGTCGGCCAGTGGTCGCTAGGTGGAATCCAATCTCTGCTCCCGTTGGAACCGTTAGGTAGATAAGGTTTTGGGAATGGCGCCACATTCCTCTCTCTCGCGAGATCATAACGTTCAACCCAAGAAAGAAATTTGGCAAATGTGATGTGACGTCCGCTGATTCCTACTTTGTCGAAGTTTGGGTAGAATCGTTTGTTTCGATCACAATGTGCATATAGCGTTTCTTTGTTAGGACAGCCATAGTACATTGGTGAGCGACGACGGACTTCTGCTGTGAGAGTTTCATTGATCATGAGTCCAGGAACATAGAGGATTCGAACAAAGTTATCAATTAAAGAGTCAGGAGGCGAGAGATTATTCAAGGGGTAGTAAAATGAGTTGTCAGCACCTTTAGCGGGATTATAACCTCTGAAACCACTAACGTGGAGAGTACTGCAGATACGAATTCGACCGTTCTTCATTTCTTCTCCGTGTCTTGCACCATAAGATAACTCCCATCCAAAAGCAAGGCACATGATGTTGCATATTGTGTATATGCCGCAGTCAGGTTCCTTCTGGTCTTGTACCTCGCTTCGGCCGGTTCGGAGTTTCCAATCGCATGGATTGAATCTTTGACTCAATGGTGGCTCGTCTCCAAGATATATTGTAAGCATAGCAATGAAACTTTCAACACATTGAGCACCTTCACCGCGAATGAGACCATTGTCGTCGGCGCTACAGAGATAGTCAATGGTCTTGGCTTCTGGAGAGATAGCACAGACAGCTACATGTCCAAACTGGTCCGTTTCTTCTGAACCAGTTTGAACGAGGAAGAAATAATAGCGCAACTGCCAAAATTCTTCTCGCGAAAATCTCTTGGCAAGTTCCGCCGCAGCGTGCTCTGGTCCTTGCTCCATGACTTCATGGAAGTCAGTGGACCAATAGACAAACATGGGAACAGTCCCAGGAAGGTGTCTATTAGGTGTTACTCTGCTTGGATCATTGGATGGGAGAGCAGAGTGCCAACGATTAGCATAGTCACAAATGAATTCTGTCATCGCGTCTACACTTGTCTTGAGCATTCCGTTACCTGGTGCCAGAGAAAAGGAAACATCGCGATCAGATAACTTCGTATTGGTCCCTACATTTGATTCGCTTGGCTGTGGTGTCCTCGCGACTGTCTTCATGGATGGAACAGGAATCTCAGTTGCTCCTGGTACACTATTAGCACGAGTAGCTTCGTAGTAGTTTTGATACCTGGTTAAGCTATCTGCCCATTGACTTTGACAATCTTTGATAAGCTGCCCTGGAAGGGGGTGGAACATCTTCGCTCTCCCTTGACATGAAATTGAATGCGTTGAGGTTGTTTGCGGGTCATGGAAAGGTGCATTGCGCGCGGGCAAATCATCGTCAGGACTCATGATAGCTAAGATCTGGTTTGATAAGTTTAGTGTTTGTGTAAGTGTGGTAGATGTATCTAATGAATGAATAATGTTCGAAGGTAATATGTAAAGACGAGCTATATCTTCAACTACAATGGCATTGTTCACCTATATTATATATGCTGTTCAACTTTCATAATCAAACAAGGAACAATGAAAGGCGACAAAGGGTTCAAAATCAACAAAGAAAATACATGGATGGAGAACAATAAGATCTAATTCTGCTCTATGGTTGAAATACGTGAGCTAATAGAAGAAGAAGAGGCTCTCACTTTGTCAGTCGGAGCAGATTAGGAGTCATACGGTAGACTAGGAGATCGAAAAGATGCTTCAATAAATGTGCCGATAGAAAAACTAGCAACAAGAGCATAGTGACATATAAAAAAGACCTCAAATTGACAACCACCGCTGTGATGTCACCTAAGGAATGATTGCCACGCCATTTCTGTTGATGTATTGGTATTCAATGTAGAGTTCCATAGCTTTGAAATACCTAGATGTAGACTCGCGAAGCTAGCGCAAGGACTGATCACTTGATTCTGCCTTTGCTAAATACTAAACTCATGTTGCGCCGATCACTATCTTTGCATCATGAACCTACCGGATATCAAGCCTCCTTTTGTTTGATGGGGGCGCGTTATAGATAGGTGATAAAATATGCGGGAATCAATTACAAAAATCAAATCTTCATTCAGATATCTCGAACTAATTCAGTCATAAACTCGAAACAAATGAAACGTGCGAATATGAGATAATCCGAACAAATATCACTATAGCTCTGAGATCTTACAAAGAAGTGAAGTACATTTGTATAAATGTTAAGAGAAACAATTATGTTGTTGAAGACAGCTGCTGCCAAGTATAGGTTTGGATCTACTCGTACTCTGTGGTTTGTCTCCCACAATGCGATTCCGGAAGGCGGAGCAACTAAATTCCGTCTTCCCCAAAATCAATGAACCCTGAGGCACCCATGACATTGCGACCACGATTTCCATACCAATAGCTTCGTTCTCATACCAGCTCTAAAGACTCGCCCTCGAAAACCGTACACCGCACACCCACCTCCCACCGAAACACTTTTGCCAATCGGCCTCAGAATATCACCATGGCGCCCAATATGTCTCTTTTCTCCGTCAATGCCATCATAATCCTCAATGCCGAAGATGGCTCCCGAGTGTTCACCAAATACTACGCACCACCCCACCACAACTCATCTTGTAGGCGCTTTCTATATTCGTTTCTGATATCATAACTTCTGACATACTGTCTAGCTCCAGCACCACCATATCCCGATCAAAAATCTCAAAAAGCATTCGAGAAAGGTCTCCTCGAGAAGACCCAAAAGCAAAACGCAGATATCATCCTCTACGACAATCGCATTGTGTTATACAAGAGCGAGAGCGATGTTATGATGTATGTAGTTGGAGGAGTGGACGAGAATGAGATTATGCTTTACAATGTTATTTTGGCTTTGAGGGATTCTTTGCATCTGCTATTCAAGTACGTCTTGTCCTGATAGAATACGCCCTGGACTTATCCCCTACTTCTTTCTCTCTATTGCTCAGGGCTTCGAATGAATCAAAACTAACATGTCACAGACAATCCGTAGACAAACGGACTATAATCGAAAACTACGACCTCCTTTCCCTGGCAGTTGACGAGATGGTTGATGATGGTATTATCCTCGAAACAGACCCCACGATTATCGTCCAAAGAGTTAGCAAGGCGCCTACGCAAGATGTTGCCCAATTGAAGGGTATCGATTTGAGCGAGCAAGGCATGAACAATTTGGCACAATTCGGAAAGGCCAAGTTAGGGGATTGGTTGAGGCAGGGGCTGTGAAGGGCATAAACAACGAAGATCGTGTCATTGTGGATGGGCAACATTACATTTGGTTGGGAGCCACAAAAGGAGTTTAGATTGTACTGGAGTTGGGGCATATCAGATTCCCAGGCATAGGAATAGTGAAATCATAATGGGACGCAGCTTGTTCTATGGGATTGTATCTAGATATAATGAATTTTGGCAGTGATTCTTTATCTTCTATCTTTCAATGACCGTGGCTGCTTTTCGAAGCCTATTCATGACTGCGGCTGCAATATCCCCTTCATCTTTGATGCCTTCGACAAAAATGACATCACATCCTTTTTGATCCAGCTCTCGCAGCGCCGAAAAGAGACCATGGGCGATATCTTTGATTTCACTACCCAGGGAAATTCTCAAACAGTTTGCAACATGCCAGGCTGTCGTCTGATCACTCGAATCTTTGATCCAAGGTTTATGCTTTCTTGCGTAGAGCGCGAACTCGTTTGACTGTAAGCCCCCTTCTATGTCTATAGTTCCCTTGTCTTTGTCTTCATCTATTTGAATATCATAGCCGGCATAATCTTCACCCCCGGGTCGAAATCTCCAATTCAGAGTAGATATAATGCCAACTGTGGCTGGCTTGTCGGAAGATGAAGAATTGCGCCCAGTGTGTTCCGTCTCTTCAGCTCGTGCTGCTACAATTGAGAGCGCTTCGTCCCCGAAAAGAGGTTCAATACCGCGCCCGTTCTCGCACAATATAACCTTCGCTTTGGGGCTGTAATGTTTGTATTTCATTCCCGGTGCTCTGGGTGCCTTGTCTCCAATTTCACTTTGGTCTTTGTATCCTTTTACCACACCTTCCCAGCCACGACACTCTCGAATCTCGTCAATACTCACACCACCAGGTCGGAGAACAACTGGAGGATCACACATGCCATCTACAACTGTACTTTCTACTCCGACCTGGCACGCACCACCGTCGAGTATTATTTCGATCCTACCGTCAAGATCGTGAGACACATGTTGAGCGGTTGTGCAGGAAGGTTTCGTAGAGGCATTCGCAGATGGGGCGGCGAGTGGAACACCAGCGAGTCTTATTAGAGAAAGCGCAAGAGGAGAGCTTGGCATGCGTGCGCCGAATGTTGGTAAACCTGCTGTTACTTCTGGTGCCAATTTACTTGGGGATGGATTCGGTAAAAGGACAGTCAAGGGTCCGGGCCAGAAGCGTTTAATTAGTGGCCTGTAGATCTCTGGGATTTCGGAAAAATCAGTATCGACGTTTTGCTTATCGGTCGAGGTCAAGAGACTGCGTAGCATGGTAAGATCGCAAACATGTATAATCAGTGGATTGTCTGAAGGTCGCCCTTTAGCCTTGTATATCCCTTTTACAGCATCGCTTCGCGTCGCATCCGCACCCAATCCATAAACAGTTTCTGTTGGAAAGGCTACAGGTATGCTTTCCGTCTTGAGGTACTCTGCTGCTTCCGCGATAGATTGTAGTCCAGAGAGATCCTTAGGGAGTTCCCATCTCTCGAGTGTTTCTTGATTATTGAATTGCCCAACCTCAGACACATTGACTGGGAGAATGCGAGTTTTAACGGCGTTGCCGTTTACTTCAATAGAAGGCATTTTGATACTAATTCTGAGAAAATTTGAGAGGAGATTTGAAGCGGTTCGTGGAATTCGAAAAGCGAGATTGAAAACGGTAACCTTTAACGTTGTATCCTACGGCTCCTCCTTTTGAATGAACCTTTGAAAAATCCTTGAGATGTCTTGAACATACTTCCTCTTCATTGAATCTTTTCAAAAACTGTGCAAATGCATTTGTCTTCTGAAGAAGTGGTAGTGGGGCAATGACTCAAAATATTTCTTAAGGCTATCTCGCTATCAATTTCTTTTTGCATGCGCAGGGCTGATTCTAAGCTTGATGACGTAAGGTCATTGCACCCATGAGAATTTCAAGACAACGATGGCACGTGCTCGTGCGCGTCAATGATCGTTTTTTACCGAACATCTAATGGAGGCATGTGGGAAAATGTTAGATCCTCAAAAGATGGACGACATTAACGAAAGGAACGGTGACTCTCATACTATTTTCAAGTGACTTGTTGAGTCTTGAATAATATATGCGCGTCATGATAACCATGACCTAGGCCATGCATCCGGGGAAGGTCACCACATGGAATAAGGTTAGTTTGGTCACGGGATAAAAAGCCATCACTTTCTCCTAATTGATTTGTGCGTACGCACGTGAGGTACAGCAAGTGTTGGACCTCCGAGCATGACTTGCGGTCATCATGACCCAAAAGAACATCGATATGATACTGGGACCTGATCGCAACCTGTCTTCATTTCTTTTTTTGATAGTTCACTTGTTGAAAATTTCCGTAGTTCCAAGGCTTTTGATGTCACCAGTCTCATGATTTAACCTTTAACCGTTGACGAGAGTAATGTTTTTAACTCCGATGTCAAGTTGTTTCATGTTCTTCCCTGCGTGATTGAGATCAGTCGAATGTCAAGAAAGTTTCTTGGCATGTCAAAGTGTGGAGTTGGTAGCGTAAAATAAGCTTTTTGTATGTAAGACGAGACGAGCAAGAGAACCCTATGTCTATTCATGGCAATCACCTGCAAATATATTCTCAGCTTGCAATGAACTTCAGAATCCACATCACAGAGATACTTCTGCTCTGAGCCCTCTTTGAAATATATATAAACGATTTCGAAGCCCCAAAAATCACTTTTTAGAAGCCATTCAACTTTAGTGTCTCTAGCATCTTGACCAATTTCTCCCATCCCTTCGTTGAACTAGAGAGTCTAGCCTGTAAGCTAAATCAACTATCTTTTTAGTAGCATACAGTGGTCTAGATTCCCACTATATAAAGGTCACATAATTTTGCTCACAAGTTTCTCTTCTCTTTCGACCTGTATACTTATTTACCTATTCACCTGCCTACTTGCCATCTTCGACATCAAATCATTGAATAAATCATCTACAAAGATAACAATGCCTTTCCAATTCCTCAAGTCACCGCTCAGCCACAAGAGACACAACTCGGCAATGGTTTACAGAAACCAATCACTCAATAAATCGGACGACACTCGTAAGTACCAAGCTTTCTTTTCGACTCAAATCATTTTTATCATCTAGATGTTTGAAACTACTCTCGTTACTTTGCTTGATTTGAGTGGGTGAGATCAAACGAATTGCATGAAAAACTCATACGTGATGCTCTGCCGCGGCACTTGAGTTGTACGATATAAACCCAGGTTAGCTGACAAACAGAAGTAGTAGTCACCGATGTCTACGAGGGAGACCTTCCCACCAAGGACCCAGACTGTACTAAAAGAATCAGGTGGACGACCATCCCCAAGAAAGACTACACCAATGCCGAGTGTCGCATGTGGATTGCAGCACAGCTTCGGGCCTGTTACGTCTTTCTTCCACGATCTTCGGCCACATCCATTGCCAATAACTTTGTCGGTTCGGGATACAAATTGTTCGCAATGGAAAAAGAAGATTGGGTAGAAATACTCGGGTTTCATGGTTATGCCATAAGATTCTTGATTCGAAGAATCTTGTGGAACAAGAGTACAGCCATGAAAGCGGGCTTTTCGATGGAAGCCATGTATGAAATGAGGGGCGAATATAAGCCAGAGATAGAGTCAGAGGAGGATTTAAATTGGAGCGGGCTATATTCTATCAAGAGTAATTCGATTTGAAATTGTTTTCTGTGAAGCATTTTGAATATGGAGTTAATTGGATTTGGAGTTGGTTGGATATGGGAATACCTGGATGTGGATACCCGGGCACGGAGTTATTTGGATCTGGTGCTTTATTAATTTGTAATTAGTTGTATATATGACAGATTTCTCTTTTTGATTCTTAGATCGGATTATTTCAATACTCAGTTTGGATTCGCAACTACTGCATGGTATTACATAGAAAACAGAGTGAAGATATATATGCAACATGCAATTTATATTCCATAGATGCCGTTTCAATTGGAAAGAAAAGAAAATTGGGATGAACCTTTTCACACCCCTTTTCCTTGAGTGATGACCATGTTCCTTCTCATGACAGTGAGTGCTTGCAGGTTCAATAGATCTACTATTACATTTGCATTTTAGTAGAGATCGTGAAGTTATTATGGTCCATCATGGTTGAAAGTCTCAGTTTCTCCAGTAGTCCTGAATGTAGACGATACCAAAACTCGTATAATGCCCGGAGAAAGCTCAATAGTCGAAGGGTGTCAAGACTGTTAAGAATCTGGGTGTTTCAGCTGCATTTAGGAATCGAAAACTTTTGATTGTTGGAGTGTCGGGTGAAATATCGTTTGTAATATTGTAACTCTTGAAGGCACTTCTTTGCAGAGAGGGGCAACGACTACTCTTTTATTCTGCAGAGTTTGAGATTGGTCGTGATTTTCGGGGAAAATTTCACCTTTGAAGGGAAGGAATAGAGAACTCTTAGTTTGATTTATGATGAAGTTGGCTCCTTCCGATTTCCCTTCTCGTACTTTCCTTCTGAAAGCTACCATGTCGTCCCTAATCAATACTCTATTCTCTACTATCTCCACTTTTGAATATAAATCAGCAACACTCCATTCTATCATTATGAATCACGGCTAGTCATTTGAAATTCTTTGAGAATTTTACAGCCATTGCGAAATTCACAGTCTCTTACATTTACTTTACTTCACTACTTGACAACGATCAACTTTTTGTTTACTCAATACGACAATGGATATCAATGCCAATCTAATACAGTTCTCACCTTGGGAAGATGCGATTATACTACTCGCCATCGACTCTATACGTCAGGGGGAGTTGCTGATGGATACTGGGGGCATACCGAAGCAAGAAGATCGAGGCATTTGCGGAATTTTGTGTATCATAAGAACATGGACAACATTCATCCACACAGAAAAGTCCACTGAGTTGGAATCCACTCAGCTATGATCTCATCGAATCCGTTATGGTTCCTTGCGCGGTGTTTGACTTGGAGTCTGTTTGGACTAGACACTCTGACCCGCAAGCGAATTATGAGACTCGAATCGATGCTGTTTCTGCACTGAACTCCCAGGTTCTACCATTGAAGCCCCAAATGGAGAAGGAACTTTCCATAATTATCTGTCATTCACAATCAGATCCATTGCTCGGAGCCAAAAATGAGGAAATTCTATTGGAAAAATCTTATACGGGTGAGGGAACATTGGGTCAATATAAAACACGATTCTTCTTGCCGGTTTTTGAGAGCGATATGAAATTCATTAGCATTCATGAAGGACAAGTAAATAAAACGAGACTTAAAAGGCAGGCCAAAGAAAGAATCAAACGAATGTGAACAAAAAGGCCTTCAGAAGGTATAAAGCATAACTTTTGGAGAGAAGAAACAGGAAGACAAAGATATTGGAGTTGTCACAGCGACATGTTTAAGCATTCAAATTCAATCACATCTGGTCGTTTTAAGTAAGAAGAGATATATAATAATTATCAGGAAAGTCAAAAGTCGTATTGTGTATAGAATCAATGGGTTTTGGGATCCCCTCATCTTTAAGCCACAAGCGCAATATATGGAGTTCTCACTTAGTATTTAATTCTCTATTCGTTGCGTACCTCATTGTAAGTCAAATCATCGATGCACGTGATACTCAGTAGCGACAGCATAACTCTGGTAAATTAATGGTGACTGGATATGGCATGGCATGACTGTCAATAATGAAGTGAATTCAAGAGCTGTGCGCAACTTTCTGACTCGAAACATACTTAGAAACCTCAATATGATACATGAAACCGTCACCAGAGTCATTAATGAATGGCAATACTGAGCAAAAATACCATATTTGAATCGAAGCCGTGTCGTGGTCGTTAAAAATAGAGGTTGAATTGCGTATGAATGGTGGATTCAAATGACTCTACATCCCCAGCATTAGAATTTGACTCGAAATCAAGCGCTTGGTCAGTCATAATGTGTCAAATCTTTCTTTTTTATGACTCTTATGATATGCAATGACCATCAGGATCTATGCACAAAATGACTTGCTTCCTCCTCTCTGTTTTTCTTTCCTTTCTTTTCTCCATCATCAAAAGATCAAAACCAATAAGTTACCTATCTACCACTACAGTACACCCGAACAAATCTCACACCCTCCCACACCTTGGAACAACAAAAGCTATCTTTTTTTCTCACCATCTTGCTCAGGCCCGCAATCTCCAGAACCTCTTAATATTAATACCATCGCCGAAATCATCACCGAAATCATCACCGAAATCATCACCGAAATCATTCGACGCCTTTGCGTCTGGTGCATAACCTACAAAGTCTTCAACTGAGATTTGTAGACCAGATACATCCTCCAATAAAGATCAGATTCGTCTCTATTCTACCTCATATTTCAATCATACCCGCCCAAAGAACCCTCCACATTCGAAGTGTTTCGACCGTCGTCAGGTTACGAAATCAGAAAATTCTACTTTGATCAACCCATTCAGTCAGTCTAATAATTGTTATATCTGCTATCGATTATCCTCCCAAGATGTCTGAAATGCAGCATGGAATGGATTCATCTGGAGTGACAAACTTTCCTGAGTTAGAGTTCACTTCTAACATTTTGACTGAAACCGATTCCACGTTTGGTGAACGACATACCTCGACAACATGGGAATGCGGACTACTTCTTCTGGTTGTAGACTGGTACAGTGGAGGTAAATCTGCGGGATCACCGTGTTTGGCACAATGGACAGTCGCAAATCGGATTGCAGTTGCAAGTGTCTTCTATAGTTGGGCAACATTTCTTAATAATGAGAATGTGCTCTACGAACTGGAACCTTCAAGGGTTCTGGCTAATGGTGGGGCATATAGTAAAGGCCAGCTGGTTGCTCTTTGGCGCAAGATCACAAAGACTGACTTTCGGAACTATGCCATCGCTGCATTATATCGAAAGATTTTACCACTGAAAGACAAACTGGAGGCTGAGTTTAAAGTTAAAATATGTTATTTGAAGCATGAAATTCTGCCAGGATGTCTGAGCGAAGATAACACCTCACACAAGAATGATGGAACCTTGGGACAATACAACGTGAAATTTTCAACATCAATTAACAATGGCCCTACTGCTGAGCGACTTTGGCAAACTTTAGATGAGAAGAGGAAAGAGAGGGAGAGACTATATGATTTAGTCCTACAACAAACGAAACACGCTATGGAACAAACATTCACATCACACCCACGTTCCTTATACCCTACTTTCCGAGGCGGAACCAAACGCGATCAAGGAAGTAGCAGAATAGAAAGGGGACGCATACGCAAGCCCTGAGTTTCACGCCATCTCCATACAACGCATTGGACCTTTCCCTTGGGGGGTCTTACACTCTTTTTCTTTTTCTTTTTCTTTTGTCAAATCAGTTTTTTACTCTGTTCGCTTCGGGGACATTGGCATTCTTTACACTCATTGAGGATTACTGGCACTTGCCACTTTCTCAATCTCTAGCTATCTAGAATAAATCGTTGCTTTACCCAGATATGTGTTGATGGACTTCCATCATGTTTTTCATGCTCAGGCATGCGAAGTTTGGTGAAATGTGAAATATGAAATGTGATATAGGGATGTGTAATGGTAAAACAAGTTCCGAAAACGAGGAAGTGAGGACTGAAACAGTATGATATCTCTTCCGGGTGTTAATAATATATTATCCATGTGTTTTCACCATTTCCTTTTTTAAAGATACCGTATACGCCCTCCCTTTCTATATCCAAACTTTCAATTAGTCACTTATAAATGTAATCCTACTCAATTATCCTCAATACTCAGTCTTCCTGTGTATTCAATTCAATCTTTAAATTGCCCTCACAATACCACCATCAAATATCAATTTTATTATGCTCGAGTCAACAAATTGGACCCATGATTATGAATCCAGGTATCCCCAGTCCCTCATCAGCGTTTCTAATCTACTAAGCTTCATCGGCTTTGTGTAGAAATCATCAACACCCGCCGCCTTCGCCATCTCCATATCTGCATCTGAATACGCGGCGGAGAGTGCCACAATACGAGTTGGTGGTAATGGGGCTGGACTAATACTTTGTTGAAGTTTATCGAGCGATCGAATCAGTCGTGTAGATTGGTAGCCGTCGCATATTGGCATGCTGATATCTTTGGTTTGTGAGAAATCTTAGCTAATTGTGGATTATTGGTGTGCATGTGTATTGAAGTGGAATGGGAATACAAAATTAAAGCCAAGAGAAGAGTTCTTCACGTACCCATGAATACAAGATCAAAACCATTGGGCTGATGTCGATATTTCTCGAACGCTACGGCTCCATTTTCCGCGCACGTGATATCGAAATTCAGTTTGCGAAAGTACGCTCTGAGGAGGCGAAGGTTGATAGGATTATCATCGACGCAAAGAATTGTTGGCTGACTTGGACTTAATAGAGTTTGGGAGACATTGAGTGACTTTTCAGTAAGTGCTTCCTCTACTAAGGGTTTGGTGACGGTTGTCCCAAGTTCTTTTCGGATATCAGCGGTCGGAGAGGGCAAAGGGCTGGTATAGAAGAATTTATGATCGGTAACAGGAGACGGTTTTGGTGATATCTGCTTAGGCGATAGACAGGTGCGTAATGTTTTCAACAATTTCCAGGGACCGAACGGTATCGTGAGAGTTTCAAGGGGTATGCCAATAGCCGAGCTCTGTTGGGATGTATGGCTGTGACTTGGAACATATCGTACCAATATTATAAGCGAGGGCTTGGATGCACCATCTTTCGTCAGCTCTGCAAGGAACAAGTCGATTTTTTCTTCAGTGACAAAAGCAATATCAGCAGCATCATCGTCAGGTTCATGATTCATACCAAACCACTGAGTAAGATACGCGTGCAGGGATTTCTTTAGATGACAAGATGAGCCAGACCGGAAACCGTGAGTTGAGAACTTGGAATATTTGGATTGTTTGAGCAATCTTTTCAACTCTTCGACTTGATCCTTGAGAAGTGCATCGGAGGTTGTGATAGAAGTTAGATTATATAATGCTTTTTTCAGGGGTAGTTTGACTGTAACAGTTGTTCCGTGGCCGATTTGACTTTGAACATCGATAGTTCCGTTATACATCCGCACGAGAGAATACACGATGTGAAGTCCAAGTCCTTTTACACAGCACATCAGTATATCGACGAGATTAAAGCAATAGTCGAGTTCTTACCAGTACCCGGTGCCAATGACGACTCCTGAGAAAAGGCGATAAAGAGTTTGCTTTTCAAAAACTCACTAGAGATACCCTTGCCACTATCACTGATTCGAAGTACAACTAAGTCATCAGTAGCAATAGTTGGTCTCTTTGATATCCTGGCATTGTCATCTTTGGGGGATTCAACAGCCAAAGAAATATCTATAAAGCCTGCCGATGTATACTTGAGACTGTTACCGACCAAATTCATAATGATTCGCTGCAAAGATCCCGGAGAGCAGAAGAAGTGCCAATGGTCAAATGAAATGTGCAAGGATACAGTGACAGAGTTAGATTTGCACAGGGTTTGATTCCCTTGAGTTTCCATCGTTCCTGGAGGTTGCATTACTCTGTGTAGGAGCTGTTCCGAATTCGTTTTGTGATGCATGTAGGCAACTGCAACAATTGCCACTGAGTCTTCACACATTCTAGCAAGATCTAGGGGCTGAGAAAGTAGATCGTCGCTCGTGAGACTTTCGCCGTTTGTTTGTTGGGAATTGGAAGAATTTCCATTCGTACCTGGGGCTTTCACGCTAACTCCTTTGTGTTTCATCAAATTGTTTAGCTATACGTGTTAGCTTTGTGTGACAGGAGGGCTGAAGATTCAGGGGCTCCTCGACCATAAAATTAAGGGAGGAAATCGAGTTCATACCTTGGAATATTCAAGAACATCCATTAGAGTTTCTTGAAGGACTCGTCCACATGTTTCTATTGTCGAGCAGAATTCAAATTGACCATTATCAAGATTCGTCTCGCTTAAAAGCTCTATTGGAGTTGTTAAAAATATATACTGAGTGCTCTAGACAGGATATAAATACCGGCAGATCCAAGAATTCCGTGGAGTGGACTTCTCAATTCCTGTTGACGATAGAATCAATCAGCTTAAATTCGCAAAGTTAGACGAACCAATGACTTATTTTACAGGTAGCCGTCAAGATTGACCTGTAGGGTATCCTAGCTAGCGTGTAAATTCAACAAATAAAAATTTGAGATTTTTGAGGCTCGCGTTTGGAGGCTAGACCTTAAGCACCTCTTGTGAAGACATATCATACTAGAAATATTTGCAAATGAATAGGATTGGTTTTCTTACATGTGATATGCTTGATATGAAATCTCCTTTTTGACGATCGGCAGCGGCAATGGATATTCGATTATACTCAATAGAAACACTGTTCAGAAACCCACGAACAAATGCCTTTTCAGTATCGGAGGTGAAAATCGCTATGTCCCGTAGAGATACTGCAAAGCATGCCACTATGGGTAATCCAGTCCCTGCCTCAGAGAGTGGAGCAAAGAGAACCTCTCGAGCATCAGGAAAGCACTGCTTCATTATGCTGCGATCAGATTTTCTGACTCGATGATTTTGTTGATGAAGCTGCATAGCGAACATTTGTTTAGATGGTGGTGAGTCATCGTCTTCTGAAGATTCAGAATCATAGCCACTGAATGTCCATACTTTACCTTTAGGGTATCTTTTTGAAAGTCTTTGTAGATCTTTTTCATTTGGCGCTCTGTAGAGGGTACAAGACAGTGTATCGCCATCCAATGACGAACAAGTTGATGTGGAAAAACTTCTAACTTTAGCAGAACCTGCTTCATTACTTCGCCTGTTAAGAGATGAAGACTGGGCAGATGTATTCAATAAATCGATATCGTTGTCCTGGGGAATATAGGCAGGTGTTGTGGTGAAGTCATTTTTCGTGTTTGGATCATCCAAAAATGTATCTTCAGGCGATCCAACATCTCCATTCTCTTCGTTTTCGACACTAGTTGAAAAGCCAATACTCATATCGAAGAAAATCGTATAATCGACATCGAGAGATTCTCTCAGTAGATTGGCACCTCGTGAGAGTATTCGATCATGGGTCGCTGGGGCATCAGCCAATGCCAATTGATCTATAGATGTATTAGGTGAGATATCATGTAGCAAGTTTTCCCCAACCAGTGCTTGTGGAGGGCCCACTATATTTTTCAATGACTGCTCGGCGACCGTCACTAAAGATGTGTCAAAAGCAACCAAATTACTTGTTGAGTTAGTGTTACCCTTTTTCGCTTCATCCAAATGAGAGCCGTTGGCGTCTTGGCACTTGACGACCATATCTGTCGGCAACTGCCGCGGGATCCTGCTTTGACCCTCAACTAGAGCGGCCAATCCTTTGGACATCACATCGTTCCGCCGCAACTGCACACTTTCCCGTTTCATTTCAAGATATTCCATGACGTTTTTTGCCATTAGTCCCAAGAAATCGACCTCCGCTCTCGTGGCTCGCTCACGTGGCCTTGGATCAATGACAAAGACACTTCCAATTGGTATTCCGGTGTTACTGATTAAAGGTGTCCCTGCATAATATCGAAATTTCGGTCCGCCTGCAACATAAGGCAGATTACAGAACCTGGGATCGGCCGATAAATCCGGAACACTGAAACAGGCATAATGATTTGGTTCAGGGATAACTTCTATAGTGTACTAGTCACAAGTTATTAGTGGTGAGCGACAGGTGGTCTGGAAAACTCACCGCACACAAAGCTTCACTGCGAATAGTTCTGGAAAACGTGGCTCTCGTCAGAAAAGGTCCCGAAAGTCTTATTACTGCAAGAGATCTTACCCTCCACAACCCATCCATAAATCATCACCCGGATCATGTTTTGAAGAGTCTGATAGATCCAGTGTTTTTGTTGCTTCCGCGAGAAAATACTGTAGAGGCGTGAGTATACAGCAAAAGTAGTATTGATAGGAGTCACAAATACTTGTGCATTATCATCAACAACAGATACCATCGCTCTTGATGCACCAAGACGCCACGTGATCAATTGCATCAACGCAGTTAGTGTACTATTGGGGCTACTAGCCTTTTCTACGGACCGAACTGTCTCGGGACTCTCGACCGGTGCGCTTTCACCAGCGATAGGCGGATCATCGGGAGATCTTTTGTAGTAACGGCGAACCTCGCGAATTCTTTTGCGTTCTGAGGATGACAGCATGTTGAATTAGGTCTCATCAAAGAAAGGGATGAGATGAGTATATATAAGCTTGAAAATACGGGAATGGATAAATTAGTATAAAAGCATTTCAGTCTATCATCGGATACTAGAATTGATAATATCTGGGACGGACACACGACTTCTACGCCAATATTTCCGATCTGTGTTGATGAATTTCGACGATAACGTCACACTGGTACAAGGACGCACAAATGAATCTGTTATCGGTAATTGACCGAGAACACGATAGTGAAGGTACCCAGGGTGAACAAGTAGGGGTTTATGTTGAAGGTAGGCAATATGGTGTTCGAACACTCATGAAAATATTCGGATTGAGGCTTTTAGACACGGAAGCGTGATAGCGAAGCGATGTTCCCAGAGATGCGTAGTAAAGTATTGAGAAACAGATTGTATGACAAACTGACGTATTTTAATCACCAAGGTAGATTTGGAGGCTGAATGCAGTGGTTTAGGGTAACCTTCTATTGACATCAAAGGATATGTGGATAGATCGGTGAACAATGAGATGAATATATATTAAGAATGTCAATGAACGTGGTCGTTGTTAACATTGCATCGCAATTACCATCCAATAAATCTTGTTTAAATGAATCTCGGTAATGAGCCTAGAACATGGATAAAATTTGGAGCTGGGTGGATATACTGCTTGTCACTGGACAGCTGAGAGCTTGGGGGTGAAGATTTGCGAATCAATCCTTGTCCGCAAGCAACAGGGCTGGTATTTCCTTTTGCTCAATCCGTCTCGCGATGCACAGATATCTCTGAACGTCTTCGACTCCAGGATGTTGTGAACTTCGCAAACGCGAGTGAACATGGATGGCCAAAAGGAAGTAAAAGAGCATGCCAATGATAGAGCATAAAAGTCTTCACATGTATCCCGTTTGATGCATAAGATATATCTAATTACCTAGGTATGCCTCACCTTACTGCATTCGAAGCTTCCACGGCTTATAAAGCTGAGCTCGACATTCAGCTGATCGTACACCCAGATATATGGTTAAGAGATCTTATACTTAAGTATATGGTTGAGACTGGCCAGCAAATCAGCGTGGAAGAGAGGTAGGTAGATGTACCAGTGGGGTCCAAGTCGAAAGTCCTCTTCTCGTGTTCCTGTTCGAGAGTGTACATGACACAATACTAAATAGTACCTGCGACTTCTTTGCACGATAAGAGTTGTGATAACGTGAAGTTAACCTGTGTTTCCCCATCTTGTTCGCACGTAATATTGAGCTCCTGTCGCATCTTGTGTGTACATTCGTGCGGAAGTCACAGTTCCGAGTCATGATACCGCGCCACGGTAAGGTTATCGGGCGATAGAGGAAGAAAAAAGGAATTGAAATACTCCTCTGACAGAAGTCTCTTGTCCAAGAAAGACAGTAAAAGCAATACAACAATTGTGAGGCTTGTCCTCTGTATGCAGCTGGGGAAACTTTACGGAGATTGATATCGAAAGATTATCTCGATAAGGCACAATTGACTCGTGGCGCTAGTCTGTTTTAAGTAACGCCCGGCAAAACGAGCAGTTACCGCCCGCTGACGCGAAACTCAAGCTGCCTAGTAAGCTACCATTATTCAATACCTAGTAACTGGGCATACAACATCAACATCAAATCCATCAGCGACGTCAATCCTACAACTCTGCTTCCGCTGAACTTTTTGAACCTCCAACTCCAACTTGACCTTTGAAAATGGATTCTCTGGTATCACAATACAGCACACCTGCTTACGAGCAGGAAGCTCCTCAAGAAGACCAGATGGAGTTATACCAACCAGCTCCTGGCTTATCTTTGAAATTCGCCATGCCTCCTGTCGCACATGTACGTTAGCCTTGCGATTATCTATTCACAGGCTCGGGGTTCTGTTCACTATAAAACATTAATATGCAAAATGCTAATCAATCCATCTTTAGCCATCTGCTTGGCTCCGAGCAGCTACCGATGACCATGCGAACCCAAACTGTCCCATTAAGATCGCACACGGTACCACAACTTTAGCATTCAGATTTCAAGGTGGAATTATTGTAGCGACAGATTCAAGAGCAACGGCAGGCAACTGGATCGCAAGTCAGACTGTTAAGAAGGTGATTGAGATTAACAACTGCTTATTGGGTACAATGGCTGGTGGTGCTGCTGTAAGTTATTAAATTCATCACTGATCTGATCGTTTCACTGGTCGTGACTGAGATTTGAAACTTAGGATTGTCAATACTGGCTCGCATATCTTGGTATGCAATGCAGACTTCACGAACTTCGTCACAAACGCCGCATTTCCGTCGCAGCTGCTTCTAAGATTCTTGCAAACCTCGTTTATAGATACAAGGGTATGGGATTGTCCATGGGAACCATGTGTGCCGGTGTTACCAAGGAAGAAGGGCCCGCACTTTACTACATCGATTCCGACGGAACAAGATTGAGTGGGAACCTCTTCTGTGTTGGATCCGGTCAAACCTTCGCATATGGTGTGTTGGATGCCGAATACTCATACGATTTGAGCGAGGAAGCAGCCTTGGAGTTGGGAAGAAGAAGTATTTTGGCTGCCACACACAGGGACGCCTATTCTGGAGGTTTCATCAATTTGTACCATGTCAAGGAAGATGGATGGGTTAAGCACGGATTCAATGATACCAACCCAATATTCTGGAAGACGAAGTTGGAGAAGGGTGAATTTTCTAATGTTACTAGCGAGCTGGTTTAAGATGGCGGCATGATTTAATGAGCGAAGGAAAGATTTCTTTAGAATGTGTCATTAGCATGGACGCAGGAGCATGGTTGGCCTGAGGCCTGAGGCCGTGTATACTATTGCTTCACTCACGAGTTTTATCACCCACGAAGATAATGTCAAGAAGCAAAGAATCTACTCAGTCGCATCGTGAAAATGAAAACTGTTTGCCAATCGCGGGATGTGCTACCTAGAAGGCAAGTGCCAAATTCAAAATTGCAGTATCATCCTTAATTGCATCACCTGTTAGAATTCCGGTTGCACTTCATGTAACGGAGGATTTCAACATCATTCAGTGAAGAAGAAACATGATTGTTTAATCTAAATAACAAGGTATATAGCGCCCCAGAGAAAGCAGACTACATCAGCGAGGGGGCATAACTATTGATTCAACGAAGTTCCAACCATTGCTGCATCGAGCATGGACATTTCCTCGTCAAATCGCTTCGTGCTCATTTCCCAAGAACTTTTAGCCACGTTACGCTTTTTGGACAACCCCCACGGGTCCTCCTTGACATCGTATCGAATTTCCCCCCCTCCTCTTTCAACAAGCTCGAAGAAGGCACTGCTCAGAATCCTACGATCCTTGGCAGAGTTGTCGCATTTCCTCTTTGAAGCTCTCTGGTCTACCGCGTTGTCCTGCTGTCCTTTGAAGGTCATGTCGCCTTCATCATCGCGACCTCTCTTGGCCGTAGGTTTTAATGCAAAGAGAGACGAGCCTTTCTTGAGTTGCAGGGCATTGACACCAACGACGTTATGACGGTGCTCTCTGCCTTCGTTTTTGTCATCTCGGCCTCTCTTCGCGTTGCGCTGCTCCTTTCTCTGCACTCTGCGGCCTTGCTCTTCTTCCCTGTCGCTGACTTCTGTTGAGTCGCCCGACTTCAAGGGATTCAGATCGCCTGAGAGAGACTTGGCGGGTGACTAAACATTGGTTAGATTGGATTATTGAGAATGCGAGCCAGGACAAGTAGGAGAAAGAAAACGTATCATAAGCGATGTGTGAAACTTTCATGTATGAATAGGCGAGAGACAATGTTTGGTTCAAGAGAGGAGATTACTTACCCAATCCATGGTGATGTTCATTGAATCCGTCATTCTGATTCGTTATTAGACGGCAGTTATGCAATTATAACGAGGTGATGAGATTAATACGGTAATGTGGTGTGTAAATAAGATCGAGGATCGTATTGAAAGCTTTGATATTTCTTGGAGAAAGTACGGTAATTGTGAATGTGTCGATTGCTGTCAATGTGATTTACGTCTGAAGAATGTTTCTACGAAGGAGAAGTAAAGGTATTTAAGTAAAACCTGGGGAAAACGACCAGTTCAAAAAGAAATCCCCTAGGGTGGTAATGGTATGAGTAGCTTCTACATTAGCGTAGCCACGATCGAGTTTAGCTAGCCATTAGACTGGTGCCAAGCGATCTAGTATATTGATAGCCATGATGGTTCTGTCAGAATCTATAAACTAATTTTATTTTGCTGTGGATTTTGCTTGACTGACGTAGAGAGTATGACGTGCATGTTTTAGCTGATGACTGTTGCTAGTATTCTAGCATTATGACCACTAAGAGTGGCACATTATGGGATTTTCGCTGCCTGTGAAGATGCAATTTTGTTAATTGTAATCGTCATAGCATATGACCCAAGCTATTATTACAACGTTAAAAGGTACCAGAAAGTGATACATGCTGGCTCATTCCCCCATGAGCCTGCACTCGATGAAATCTCTGAACTAGTGTAGACCCCAAAAGCGGAATACCTCTTCCAGACTCAACAAAAGTACACATCAGAATTTTGTCTTGAGTATCCCTAGAGATTGTAAATCGCATTTTTCGTCTCCGCGACTTCACTATTCTTCCCTCCAACGCTGTGTGGGAAATCATGTCCTCCTACATCCCACTACCGTTCTCTGTCTGACACAACTCGGCTAGCCATATGCATTTCAATTTCGTTGTTTGGCTTGTGGATATAAAGTGTATATGGGCGAAAATATTCCGCTATTCTAAGTATAAAACTCTCATTTCCAGTAATAGATGCCCATTATCCAAAATGATATATATGACCAACAATGAAGAATTCGTCAAATCACAGTTTGCCCATGAAAGCTTCAAAGGATTTGGTGACAGAGATCTTCTTGATGAGTCTCGGATGACCTAATTCTTCCTCGTTCTCTGCTATTTCAGTGAAACGTCAATCAACGCCATGGATCGCAAAAAAAAAAAAAAAAAAATCAATTTTAAGATCTTCTGGCAAGTATTTGAGGTATGTTTCTAATTTCTGGGTAATGTTACTAGGAGAGTCGAGATAGTAAGTCCGATTAAACCAAAGAGCAACATTCTTGATCTTACGATATAGTACAGCATTGATATTCACTTACAGTTACCTCTGTTCATGTGTAGAAACTTGTTTGACAATATCATGAGCTGGGGAATCAATGCGGCATGAAGTTTATCAGTCACTCAAAACATTCATAGACGAACTTTAAGACCACCAATATAACTTCGTATACAATCTATGCCAACATAATGTTAAAGAATCACATGTGTCGTCGAAGTAGTGACTCCACACAACATAGTCCAGTGAAAAGATGTCATAGAACCCGCGCACATCATCGTAGGTTCATTGAAGAACTCTGACAATGCATCCTGACTGATCCTCTTAGCAAAATGGGAAAGCTCCAAGAATTTACATCTCCTCTTTCATGAATTGAGAAGAACTGTGGCCTCCTCTGGTCTCTGTAATCCCACGAGAAAAGAGGGGTCTCACTGGATCCGTTAAACACGCAGGAAAGATCGAAAGGTTACAGTGCACGTTTAGTACAAGGTGGAATTTTCATTGGCTACAATGAATCTCTGATCTTTTGTGTGATGATTAAAGTTATCCATGGATGTTTCGTTTTTCAGAATTCACTCGAACTTTGTCTTAATCGCCTCCAAGCGATGACTGTCTTACTGTGAAGCGATTGAGTAACCTAAACCTAAAGTCTTCGAAACCTGTTAAACTCGTTCTTCGATATCTTCTTATTACATCTAGCAATAACAAAGTCACAACCATGGCCAAGAGAGTTAGACGGAAGCGAGGTTCTGCAGTCGCAAAGACGACAGCAAAAAGAAAAGAAGAAAGTAAGTTTCCAGTTCAGCTTTTGCTTCGATAGAACCCTCTAATCCAGTTGTTCTTCTTTTTAGCACTCACCCCCGTCATCATGGATGGTCCACCAGCTGTTCAGTACCAGAGCAAAATTCCCTTTGATTTTAATTACTACGGAGACTTCTACTTCACCTCCAGGACTGATCACACAATGATGTTTGTAGCTAGACGCGAAGCCAAAATTGGAAGGGCATCAGACAGCGTTGGTAGAAGAGATCACAAGATTGTTAGCTATCAGAGGTATAATATTCTTGATCTTGAAGTGTACATTGCTTATTTGATTTGTAGACCAGGTCCGTTTAGATTCATGGACTTGCCTATCGAAGTTCGAACAATCATATTTCAATTGATCGCATCTGTTATTCTTTATTTCGACCCCAAATCAAAAACTTATATCAATTCGATCGCTATTGGAGGTTCAAATTGGAAATTTGAGTACAAAAAAACTTACGGAATGGGTTTTGCGAAGTGGCTGGAGAATATGTGTGACTTCAGGCGCAGTTTCTTGCCCAAGAAAGAAAGGAAACAACATTCAAAATTTATTAAAGAAGCAAATGAATTTGTATACATCCATCACAACCACCCAAACAGAAATGGATATTATATGGAGAACTTCAACATAAATCATGCCACAATGCCCGACTCGGATTTTCTTGACTGGGCAGACCTAAAGTGGATTCGAATGTTAGCCAATGTTAGTACGCAATTCAGGTTGGAGCTTGGCTCTGTGATCTGGGAAAGATCTCGAATATACTGCAATGGCGACAAAGATGATTTAGCTTTAGATCAACTCCTGACAGCATGCCCAGGCATAGCGAAAGGGCTTAAAGAGCTTGTGATTGAGGTCGCATATCTGCAATTTTCAAATTGGGAAAAGAGCAGCGATGAGTCGATGCGGAGTGTCAACGAAATTTTTAGTGATTTCGTACATCTGATATCTCAAAAACTGAACTTGGAGTATTTGACGATATGGCTTGTCGGTACAAAGAGCGCCCTTGTCAAACTCACCGAGGGAGAAGGTCCGATGAAGATCTTGACCAACATCAGAGATCTAAAGGTGACTAAGGGGTTTCGAATTCAGATGAGTGCGTGCTTTGAGATTAGTGACAATGGCAGCCGATCGAGTCCTGACCCTGAATTCAATATCAAATGGGAGCCAAAGGTCACAGCGGCACTCCTACCCGATGTTTTGCGTCCTCAAACACCGAAAACAGACCGAAATCGTTACCTTGAGTCTCGAGCCAAAGAACAAGAGATCGGCGCTATCGATTAGAGAATATTGCTATTCCATGTTTGGATTGTGGCTGGGAACAAATAAGATTATTGGGTCAAGATGAGATACAAGTTGGCGGGCACACTTTGTATTCCATGGAGGGGGGATAGTTTATCTTCGAAACTCAAGTTTTCGGAAGGAGAGAAAGATCAGAGTTAGTAATGGCGTTTTGCAAGTATGATTCCCTCTGGAAAGGAACGACTGATTATCTATGAATTTACATCTTATTAAACCGTCTTCAAAGGTTCAATCGATTGTGACACTATGTTTGTATGAACCTGGTAGTCCTTTACCTAGCTCACGTTATGTGATATGATATAAGTAGGTAGTATCTATAAATGAGTGATTGGTGTTTGGCATCGTCTTGGTACTTTACTCAATGAAGTTGCGATGAGGTGAAAGTGTCTGTTTCAATTTCTGGGTATTTCTTATGATTTAATTTGCAGTAGAAAGTCAACATTTGCTTTTTACCTACAGTCTCCGTAGAATGAAGAAAGATGTATGATGGACAACTCCTTCCTCGGTCAGCGCATCGAAACTTTGATCCATGTATTTTACGTTTCAGATACCATATCAGAGGAAAACTGGCGTGATGGGTGACCCAAGAAACAATCAAATTTCGGGTGATGATATTTACAAAGTCCAAGAATGCTACTACCAAGGCTAACCAACATGCACCATGTGATCTAACAACCCATTGATTGATGATAGGCTCAAAAACGTTCCTCCCCGAATCGCCTGCGAATTCGATGCAACATGAATAGGAAATATTAGTATCTATTGCTCCCCCGCCATCTTCTCCGCATGTCCATCTATGCTTTTATATTGAACCAATGAAGCTATAATGCGTCGAGTTTTGCCGCCCCGAACTGTGCTCTGCCGCGTCGAACGAAAAACGAAACACAAGAGAATATCAGAACATCGCCCGTTTTCCCGTTTGCATAGTACTTTCTTTGCTATATTTCTGCGTCCAAAGACCCTCTCCAATGAACACAATTAAAGCCCTTTTCACAAATTCCAACCCCTCTCCGCATACCAACCTTAAGCGGTAACGCTAACACACGAACCCCTAAAAGTTCCTATTCTGTCCCACCATATTCCCATGCGCCGACCAAAGCTTACTGTTTGAGTAAAAGCTACGGTCAGATATGACAGATCAGTCACCGTGAGAAAAACATTGGCCGTTCAGAGCCTCATCAGAGAGCACTGCTTCAAAGCGCCACCTTGAAGTATTTGTTTCCTCGAAAGACACATTTCGAATGTTTGTGGTTAGTGATGTAACACAATCACAACCGAAAATTCGAAAGAGAAGACACATATTTTGGTTGGCTGGTTTGGTTCCTATATCATATATACAGCATCTGGATTAGACTATGATGTGTACAAACTGAGGTCATGGTGAGAGGAGGCGATTGTCGGTGGGCTTTAACGGTGAGATCGTGAGTCCATTGACACCTTGGGATGGGATTTCCATGGGACAGGTTAAGAAGCAACAAACATATGAACTGAATGACTGCCATACTAATGGTCACAGTAGGTCTTTGTCTTCACTTTCTAAGCTCAACATTTGCAATTCTCATCTATTCCCGGCCAAGAAACATCCTCGGGGTATATTCCTGGTCACAAGTGGCTCCTTTCTTGAAATTGATCTCGGAGGCAGGCGTGATAAAGCGTAAGATGGTCTGCGTTCCGATTTTGGGGCAGTCATGTCCTTGTGGATAGAAACTCCGGAAAAGAGTACGACGTTCGAGATTTCCAGGGGTAAAGTTATAGAGGTCCCATAGTATAAAGCACAAAAGAAAAAAAGAAATAATGCACATGGAAATATGCATCCGGGAAATCTATGGAATGTGGATCCATTTGCTGAATGTTTCTATCGGCTTGGAATCCAACTGAAAAACGTATACATCTCAGGACATCCACAGCTCTAGGATTTTAGGGCTGAATTCGGCAGTAGAGAATCTGGACGAATTGATATAGTGAGTTCTGGTAACCTCTTTCTGCATATAAACGGATTGTTCATTATATGTGGTCGCTGAATTCCGACCCAATTTTTGAGTGGTGGCCTATCAACGAATCATCTGAAGACTCCAGGGAGTTTGTGAAATTATCCTGTGAGTGGAACCTCAAGTCATCCAGGAATTGAATGGATTCGCGATTATCCTCTCGAAAGTGGGACAGAAGTCTGGCGCCTACCAACCTTGCGGTCGCATTACCTTCATCTAAATCAATATCACTGGGAGTTGTGCTTATGATTGAAGTAGGACGACCCATGAATGCAACCTCGTGATCCATAGTAGACTGCGATACACGTTTCAGGGGCTCCTTTTGATTAAAACCAAAGCTTGGGGCTTGGTCCTGGCCTTCCTCGACATCCCAGATAAAGTTTTGGATATAATGACCATGTTTTGGTGAATCCAGCCTGGCTCCTCTGAGGACTTCTTGAACGAGTGATACCGTCGCTGGGCAAGAGTAAACGGTGATCAGAAGCCACATGGAAAAGGCAAATGGTATCCAAGGCATAATTTCTAGTAGCGATACACGACTTGTGAACACTATCATTACCAAGAACAAGCTGGCTGTCGGTAATACCACAGGGCCAAACCTATCAAGAAAAAGTCAGAAAATAATTCTTGTATTGGAGGACCCTTTACGGAGTACTTTTTAATTTCTTCAGGATGTGACCGAACGACAGCTACCATGAGAGCGACAGTGCAAAAAATATTGCTAGAGCCGTGTTAGTATATGGTCAATTGATAAAATATTTCGATTCACTTACATAAGCCAAGCAATGAGGGAGGATTCATGAAGAATGGGGGAAGCTATCGAGAGAAACATCATAGTGTACAAGTACATCGTTCTAAGTTTCTCAGACTTTTTGTCTTCATTGACATCGTGTCGGACAGGTCTGCGCTCTTGCGTCGGTGTGACAAGTAGATTCAATTTGGTAGTCATGATTAATTTGATGTCGTTTGAAGTATACAAAAAATGAAAAGATTCAATAACGGAAATCAGGTTAAATCCTTACATACAGTTGAGATCGAAAATCGAACAATAAGAAAGAGCAAGTAGATAGAGTGGATCTGGAGAAGCTTTTTATTCCCCGCGAAATCAGAATACTCGACCATAGACATAACATCTCAGAGTGGGGGTAGGCTGACTTCAGGCATGAATGCATCTAAACTAGACCTTCTATTCGGTGTGAAGAAACTGAGATAGAAGGTTTGTCTTGGTTCGCAAAATCAGCCTCGCTTACCGACAATCGTGGATGTTCGTAATGATAGGCTGGCGATCAAGATTCGGTGACCAGTTTCGGATGACTGCAGGTTGGGCATCAGCCTTGCCGAAAGCCTATAGTACCCTCGGAGCCCAATGGCTTGGAATCGGGATATCTCGTATGGTTGACAAATGTTAACACTCTCCAGTTGCAGGCATTTCGGTCAGCGCATTTGTCAAATACACCATGACGAGGATATTTTATTAGACTCTTGATTCGAAGATTTCAAGGATCCTCCACCCGATGGGCGCCAATAACTTTGTTAAGGCTACGATCTGATCACAGATATATTTGTACTTGGGTATCGCTTTCCAGTCTTGAGTAGATAAAGATGTTCAAAATCAGCCGTCCTTGAACAAAAAGCTATAAGGAATTTAAATCAGAACAATTACTGATAATATGGCTATGAATGACATCGAAATTGAAAGTTCCTACCGACTATTCAAATGTCGTTCTGGAGTATGTCGAGCGTCAACAATAAGACCAATAGACGAACAATCACTCACGGAATACCTTTCTGCATATTATCCAGCCCGCGACTTGGGAGCAATCTTCGAACCATTGATTGCAATGATATCTGCAACAGTGACTACAAGATATACTCTTTATCATGAGAAAGAACGAGTTCGCACCCCCAAATCTAGACCTAGATCACGGCTAACATTCAACCGCAGATGAACTCAAATACTAAACCTATGGGCTACACCTTCAATTCGGGAAGTCTTGGTGTAATGTTGGATCCGTATGCATTATCCTTACTCGCATCGTGTATCTTTCTGGGTTGTTCGATTTCTTCGTTCACGCATCGACGCCAGGGGCAAGATAGATGCCAGTCGCTTATTCTTGTATTCGCCATTTTAACGGCCACCACAATAGGTTTTGGATTGGGAATAAATTCAAATCTCATAATGCTAGGGTTTGTTCCTTGGGCACTGATACTCGCAATGATTCTCAGTGTCTTCGTTCATTGGACTGTCAGACGTCATCGTAGATCTCGAAACTGTCCTGGAGTGTTCTTCCTTGAAAGAATTGGAAAAAGCGTAATGACTTCAAGGCTTGGAGAGACCCAGGGCTGCTAAGATCACACGATGGTGCTTAAGTGGGTGCCCCTGTGTAGCAATAGCAACGTAAAGGTGACCTTGTTGACATGGCATTCAATAGATACGATTATAGATCTTGATTTGGTGCAAGATCTACCACTTGGTGCGATCAAATCACACAAGAACAGGCAAAGAGAGGTTACCTGAAAGTGGCTTATACTTCGAGAACCACCGCACGAGAGCGTTGAATCACCATCTTTCTGTAATGTATAACATCGCTGCATACTTGTCTTACCGAGCCAATTATTGAAAGATTCCGATGCGCTATCATGGGTCGGTACACCATATATTTGAAGCAAGAGCATCAGTATCATTTGAAAGTTCGCTTGGTGGGGAATATCGGTGGAAGGTCTCAGAGCATGGATAGCTAGCGATTCCATACTCATACTGTAAAGATGTCAAGACATCTCACGATGAAGAAGCTAGAGCTGCGAGATCTATGTTTAAACGCAGATTTCGGCAGGAATTGTCGAGATAGACTGTTGATTTGCGGCTAGCTGTTACTTATTGAAGCTGTGGGCTATCTATACTTCTAATTTATTGCTGTTACATGAAGGGACGAGCCACCAAGAACCTTCTCGTTCCATGTTGTTTTAAAATTGGAAGATAAAAGGGCTAATCATCTTAGGAAAGGTCTAAATCGTTAAAAGTGCCGAAGAATTGCAGAGAATACACATATCTGGAGATTAGTATGCAGCTTCAGGGAAAAACAAGTGGCATAACCAGCCCAATCCGAAAGGCGAATAACAGTAGCCAAGGCAAGAGAATACGTGGAATTTCTCGGCATAGGTATATTAGTCGATGATCGTGAGAGGCTCGGAGGCCCAGAGGCTCTAGTCAACTGATGACGGAATCAGTGATGCAAGTGAAGAATGGAAGCGAAGGGGTTGTTGAGTCTGAGGGAAATTCATAAGGACGAGGATACCAGATAGGATTGAGGAAAATATGAGATCTTAAAGGAAAACAACAATATGAAAGATTACAATTTCACCTGCATATATCGTATAGCTATAGCAATATCGAACCAGAAAGAATTTTAGAGAGGTATATGAAGTTATAAATCAAACAAGAAGACACGAAAAAGATAAAAGGGCCAGATCAATACACACTCCTGAGTAAGAAGACAAAAGCTGAAGAGAGTTTTGCACTTTTGAAACCGACGAGCATTCGAGGTTTGGGACACTACGTGTCATGTGGGCCTCAATTTCCTTTTCAGGATGATCGTTGTTAACAATTCCATGGAGATTTGTGGATGGCAGATACTATTTGTTAGATTGATTTTCCAAGCCCCGGGGGAATGAGGGCAAGTCGTGTTGCCACACAGTCTTGGGTCTTTGACACCATGCCGGTAGGATACTGTACATACAAGAATTGGGCAAGGGTACAGAGTACGCTTCGAATGTTAGAACAAAGACAAAAGAAGAATTCATGAGAGAAACAGGTGCTTACAGAAGCAACCAAACGCTTGAGGGTATATTATAATTCTATTTATGACTCCGAAGCAATCTTCAATTTCTCCAATGTTTCTTCCGTGCTTGATCCAACGGTGACTTTTTGGGCATCTTTTCCTTCAACATGTCCATCTGGCTGTGCAACGACATTTTTCCTTGCTGCTAACGCCGCGGCTTTTCTTGCTGGATCAATTTCTTTCTTTGCCTTCTTGACCTTGACTGGACCTGGTACAGAGTTAGCTCAAGTATTTATACGAGAAAGAGACTGCAACAAACCTTGTTCTGGAGGGTAAGCTTGTACTTCGATTGCTTGCCATTCTGGAGATGCTTCGAATTCCTCTCTAATTGGTTTTAAAATATCGTTAAGGTGGGCGGTGAGACTTTGTTTGATAAGTTGAGGGGTGAGCTGCGGTTGATATCAGTGACTGGCCAACAAGAACTGTGCCCACAAGTCTACTCACAATATCTGCTATGTAATCTTCCTTCAACTTCTCCACAGACTCGTAGATCAACGGCTCCTGATCTCTTCTCTCAACAACAAATCTCGAAGTGCCTCCGTTCTTCAGAGCGAGAGCGCGGAAAATAACATGTTCGACGAAAGCGATGACACCATTACCTTCAACTTCCTTTGGCGTGCACTTAGCCTTCTTTAATTTCTTCTCAACAGCCTCTGGGCCATCGATCAGGTCGATCTTCGAGTCCGCATCACTAGAGCTCATCTTCGCAGCCTCTCCTAGACCAGGAACCATTGTGTTCATTAAATGTGCTCTGACTTTGTAATTAATCTTTGGCAGATTTTCCTTTGCGAAGGTGAAGATTTTCCTTTGGTCAACACCACCGAATTGTGCATCAACGTCGAGATATTGTTCGTCTAGAGCCTGCATGAGAGGGTAAATTAAGCCACCAAGTGTTGGATCATCCGTTTGCTTAACGACTTCGGCACCAGCCTTTTGGGCGACGTTAATTCTGGTGATACCCTCCAACTTAAATCGGTCCATTGTATATTCCTTGTCAAGTTGGTAAGAGCTTCCTAGTACAAATTCCAGACGACTCAAATCAACGCCAACCGCTCTCAAAGCTGATTTGATTACTCGTTCGTAGTACTTGGCGCGGTATTCGACGAGTTCGAGAGGTGCTTTCATATTGTCCAAGTAACCGTGGATATCTGCGAGGAGAACCTTAACATTACAACCCGCCCTCAGTAACTCTGCTATCTTAATCATTGGTACGAAGTATCCACAATGAGGTCTGCCAGTCGTTGCAGTTCCCCAGTAAACTTTGAGAGGACGCTTCTCCTTGAGGATGACATTGTCGATAATATCTCCGTCGAGAACCTCGGCAAGGTTTGCCTTGATCAAGGCAATTGATTCCTCTGGACTCATGTCGGAAGCCATGTTGTGACGTTGCTGAAAGTAAATTGTTGAAAAGTAAATAGACGCGATACTCAAGAAGGGGATACTTTGACTCATCTTCGGCGGGGGATAATTTTGGCGGGGTACCGACCATATCACGTGTGCATATTATGTAAGCTAGCCTTCCCTGAGACTGTACTGTGTAGCAACAAATAGATTCAAAGAGGGAAGCGGTTCGTGTATCAACACCTCATCTATGAAGCCCTTCTACGATCCTCTCTTCACCCTGCACTCTAGATAATTTCTCAGCCAGATCCGATTGTAGATTACATCCAGTTATTTGCCAAGGTGTGAGGGCTTATGGCATGTTTTCCTTCATGCTTCCTCCTATTATGTTATATATCTTCTAGAATGGCATCATCTACTACACAGTCTTGCAATGGTGATAGAATATGATCTTGTCCGCGGGAAAGCACTCATAGATTGTACTCTTTCCTACAGAGAAAACGATGAAATATTTCAGCAATCCAATGACTTACTTAGTTTTTGTACTTGATAGCAAGCAAGCTTCACCCTTGATGATCTAACTTTATTACGCAAAAATCCAATAAATGTCGAAGGCGGGATGTGGGAAAGTCATAGTCGACAGCAAGTATGGAACTAGACTGAACCTTCAAGGCAAGGGGGCGCCTGAACGTTGAGCGAGATTGAAGCGAAGCGAAATCAGAGCTTGACATACATAATTTCATAGCACTTGAGATGCTTCCTGGATTATATTGCAGTCTTGGAACCAAAAAAAGCCATGGATGTGTGACCTCAACTCCAATCGTACACTAGTGATATCACAAAAACACGCGTGCGAAGTAGAGAGTAGATTGAAGTAGATTGATGGAGAAGCCTGATGTCTCAAAGATGATAGCCTCGATCAAATGGTATTACAGCCGAAACTCGACGGATTCGTGCTGTAGCATGGAACGAATTTTTTATTAAGAATTTTGTGCAAGGACAGCAGTGCTTTTGCTTTTGTCAAATTCGAAACAATCATACAGCCTCAGCCAGCTCCTCTATTTTCCTTTCTTGACCCAGTCCTCTACCTTTTCTCTTCCTTCGGTGACCTTGCCATCCACTATTGAGATTGCTTGCTTTGAATGTACCCGTGCCATTCTCCATGCGTTCTCTATGCTCTCCCTTGTCCTGATATGTGTGTCCGCAATCACTGGAAATCTTCTCTCATATTCCCATGCCAAATTGGCAACATTTCTCATCGTTACTGGAAGAACAACCCATCCTGCTCCAATTCCGACTGCGAATGGCACAGCAGCTCTCAGCACAATGTTTCTGTTTCGTGATACAATTGAACCAGTCATAGCAGCAACCAAAACGTAGATAGCTCCCGGCATTAACTTCTCCCCAGATTGTTGGGATGGTGCAAGTGAAGCAATTGTAGATGTGAAACTGGATTCAAGGTTAAGGGCAGAGTCCATCATGGAGTTCAATTTGTTCTCGGCAGCGACGACATGTGCATAGAGAAATAATCGACTCTTTCCTATTTGTACAGCGAGCCTGTCGGTAGGAGTTGGACCAGTATGTTTCCTTGATATTTCCTCCGACGCGGGGCTTGGAGATTTGGATGATGGGAGAGTTGGAGCGGATGTGGGAGGGAGCTCCTCGAAGTCATCATAGATGGGTTTTCTTCCCTATAATCATGCGATGGTTAGTGACAGAAATGTGAGTGGGTTTAAACGCTGTTCCGTACATCTGGTGCTTCGGCATGTAATGCTCTCTGAGGATAGAGAGCCATTCCGATTAAGGCTGCGCCAGTTGCTACAGGCGCAATGCGCTTCGAGTTGTTAGCTAAGTATAATTTTGCGTATTTGATTATACTGACCTGCCGCAGGAATACTCTGGAAGCCATTGCTCAATTGACTTGATCGTACAATTGGTATGTATTGGGATCGAATTCCGCGGTCGTTAAAGCTTCGTTAACTTCAAGGTTCCGTTCGTGTGATTTTTTATGCAAACATGCTGACGTAATTATTCTCATCCAATGTATGTGCATAATTTATGAAGCTACCAAGGTACCTACCTACCCAAGTACTATTCTCCGCATTACATACTATGTTATCGTCTTCCAATAACCAACCTTCGTGCCATTGACAGTTCGGATGAACGTGCCCTGGAGTATGTTGAAAGCAACTACGCCCAGGCCGTGGATTTGTTCTCGGTGCGTTAGGAGACAAATTCAATCACGCCGAAGACTTGCAACAGCTTCTTCACAATACCGCGAATCTCGACCTGTACCTGTCGACAACTCTGCTCCAGGCGCAAAACATGATGACAGAACGCTACGGCAGATCTTTGACTCCCCAAATTTCTGGGCTGAATTCTCCCAATCCTCGAAACAAAGTTACAATAGACCGGCTGTTGGACTTTTTCAGAATCGGTACCTTGTCAACCCCCAAGGTTTCGAAATTTTTGCGAACACAAGTTTGCGAAAGGCACAAAGAATTGTGGATAAAGTCTTGAAGGCTTCGACAATTGAAGAATACAAACATGTTGCTAGAGAACTAGATCGTCTTAGTGACCTGTTGTGCCGAGTCATCGATTTGTCGGATTTTGTTCGAGCTACACATCCGAATGCAGCCATACAAGCAGCTGCATCAAGAGCCTACGCAAAAATGTTTGAATACATGAACATCTTGAATACAACCACTGGGCTCGATAAGCAACTTGAGATCGCCATGGGAACACCAGAGATTGTAGCAGGGTGGACAGAGGAAGAAGTGGTGGTCGCAGATATTCTAAGGAAAGACTTTGCAAAGTCAGCCATTGATCTACCTCGGGCCCAGCGAGAAAGGTTTGTAGCTCTCTCGCAACAAATTAGTGAAATTGGTCCTGAATTTGTTGATTATATGACACCCGCAAAACCTTACTTAACTTTTGAAAGTAGTAAGTTGAAGGGAATGGATCCAGTACTGGTGAGGCAATACACGACATGGGGACAGACTAAAATTCCAACCGTTGGTGGTGCTGCAGCAGCAGCTATTAGATCAGTCCAGAATGAAGAAGTTAGAAAAGAGATATTCATGGCTACTCGCACAGCTTCAAGAAACACAGTATACAAGCTGGAGGAGCTCATGCGTAAAAGAGCAGAGCTGGCCAAACTCTCTAGGTACGAAAGTTATTCTCACCTAGCCCTAGGAGACAAAATGGCCAAAAGTCCAGCATCTGTATCACAATTCTTGGAAGCACTGGCAAAGGATAACAATCAGATTGTAAAAGGAGAAGTTTCCGAGCTCCTCAAGTTTAAGATTTCGAACTCGCATGGCTCTTCTCCAGGTTTGCAGCCATGGGATAAAGATTATTATATGTCACAGATTTTGGCTTCGGTGCGTTCGCACTCTCGCAATTCCGATTTTCTTTCAGCATATTTCTCGCTTGGTACAGTCATGCAAGGACTCTCTAGGCTATTTACACGTCTCTACGGTGTTAGACTTGCTCCACATGAGACGATGCCAGGAGAAACATGGAATTCAGACGTTCGAAGACTAGACGTAATCTCTGAAACCGATGGTCACGTTGCTGTACTTTACTGTGATCTGTTTTCCCGTCCCGGAAAGTCCCCGAATCCCGCGCACTTCACCCTTCGCTGTTCTCGAGAGATTACAACGCCTGAACTCGAAGAAGCTTCATCATTGTCTCAAAATGGCCTGTTCAAAACTGACGAAGAAGCTGCTAATGATGGTATGGCCACTTCAAGAGCTTCGGGAGTCCTCAAGCAATTGCCAACCATAGCCCTCATTTGTGATTTCGTCACAATGTCCGGAAAGTCATCTCGCCCTGCACTTCTCAGTTTTAACGAGGTGCAAACTCTCTTCCACGAGATGGGCCATGCCATTCATTCCATTCTCGGGCGAACATCTCTTCAAAATGTCTCAGGAACTCGTTGCGCAACCGACTTCGCAGAGTTGCCTTCAGTTCTCATGGAACATTTCGCAGCAGACCCATCTGTTCTTTCTTTATTCGCGCGCCATTATGAAACCGACCAACCCCTTCCATATGAAATGGTAGCTGAAAAACTAGCATTAGACAAACGTTTCGAGGGCTCTGATACTGAAAATCAAATTATCCTCTCTATGCTCGATTTAGCATACCATTCTGACCTCCCTCTCTCTCCGTCTTTCAACTCGACAGCAATATATCATTCTCTCCAAGAAGAACACGGTGCTCTCCCAGTTGATCCCCCCGGAACATGCTGGCAGGGTTTCTTCGGACATCTCTTCGGATACGGTAGTACGTACTATAGTTATCTTTTCGACCGGGTTCTTGCAAGGAGAATCTGGCAAGTGGTGTTCAAAGACGGAGAAGACGGCGGTAGCATCCACAGAGACAATGGCGAGAAGATGAAAGAAGAAGTTTTGAAATGGGGTGGAGGAAGAGATCCTTGGAAATGCTTGGCGGGTGTACTAAATGATGGTAGAGTAGAGAATGGTGATGAAAAAGCCATGGCGATTGTGGGTAGTTGGGGTGTAAAGGAATGAAGAGATCAACTCGTGCAGAGATGGACCTTAACGAATAGCTTGTTTATATATGTATATACCCTTGAGCTTAGATCTGATGATTTTGACGAAATTCATCTTGCATACGAAAACCCTGTTTGTTCAACATTATCAATTCGCCCATCTAAGTGGCTTTCGATGTGAAAATACATGTCGAATACATGGACGTATGGATAGTAAACCACAATTTCAAAGTAGAAGGATTGAAACGCAGCTCCTGGATATGGACCGACTGCTGCGGATGTTTGATACAACTTGTGAGACACAGAGTTGAACAACCCCGTCGGCCGCTAGAAGAGCCTATTAGTTCACGACTCCTCGGTTACTAGGTATTGACACGACACAGATTAATCAAGGGTTTGAATTAACATATTCAGGGTTCTAAAATGGGAGTTTCTGTGAGAGGATTCAGAGGATAAAGCCCGAGTCTATTGTGTTACATCACATTAAAGATCGACTGACTTAATCATGAATTTATTAATACTGTTACATTATACTTTTGAGAGTAGAGGAAAGCTAATTATCTAATAATACTCATGTTCACATTCTCCAAGAGAATACCAACGAGTCCTAGCTTCTCTCGGTCACATCCTCAGTCCCGTTGTCGATGGTCCAAGGATTTCCAATATGTATAACCAGCCTTTTTCTATGTTCCCGTTCTTACATAGGAACTTGTCCTCCCCATCTCTGTTTCGCCTCTAGGATTGGAGTCTTTGGTGATCTGTTGTGTGGTGTCTAACAGTACTATTCATAATGAATGAATGAAAATTAATAGTCAATACCAATCCAACAATATGAATACTCTCCCTCTAGTGTAGACATTGGAAAATCTGGTTGCCAGACTACAATCCTAGTCATCTTGAAAAATAGTCCTGAAATCCGGAAAATAATCCTCGGACACAGTTTTTGTAATTGAACAGACGACTCCTTTCTCCTGAAAGAGTCGCTTGACAGGCTCCAAGATCTTATCACGTTCTAATGTATAACTATTCCAAGAGAGCGAATCATCAGGCGCAATCAATTCTACTTTTTCAAGAAATCTCATTGATGTGGGTAATGTGTTTGCAAAACTTGTGACTTCGTCTGACCAAGTCTGCTTTCGAACGGAGTAGGCACCTGGGTACAGTTCTGATGTATGCGCTCGTTCACATACTAGTCCTAGATACGTCAACGATTGTGGAAGTAAATCCTCCATATGGTGTCTAATTGGTTCTCTTGGCGATCGACCACTGAATACAATCGGATCGATTGTTAGCGAAGTCATTTTTGGGAAATCTGACAAGTCACCCAGAAACAATGGTTTCTCCTTTTCGTTTGACTGCTCGCCCGGTTTCGGGAGAGGCCCAAAAGAATCGCCTTTGCGAAATCTTAGATCAAGTTCTTTCAAACTGCCCCTATGTTGGTCCAGTATCATCCGAATGTTTTTGCTCTCCAAATCCAGTGTTCTATCATCATTTGACACGCTCGAGGGAAACGCGTATGTCCATCTGAATCTCACAAGCTCCTTCAAAGTCGAAACAAGTTTAAAAACCCTAGAGAATGCTACGTAACTGCGATCAAGCGAAAAATCGGTAATCGAAGAATACTTGACTGGTTGTGCCTCTAATGGTGATTCATCCTGACTTCTTTTGTCCCACCTCTGTTGGTCCACTTTGCTACTCATAAGATGTGATGTGTAGACAGATCTCATGTTTGGCAAATCCCAAAACCTCAAAAGTGGTGATGAACCTGGTAATGCTGAATTTGGTATTGTTAACAACCCTATGGAAATATATACCGTTCGAAGGTTTTGGAAATAATCAGCTGAAAGCGAAGGTCCAGGATGCGCACCCAATTCATAAACTCGATTCATTGATGAAATATGAAGTTTTTCGATATTGGGGAGATGCTGTATTATAAGATTTAAAACCGCTAGAGCAAAATTCTCGAACCCATGGGATTCAAGTAGTGATGCACCTGTGCCCATGCGAAAAACCACACTATACTCAGACAGGCCGTTTGTCCAATTATCTAAATACCTCAAGACCCAGGGCTGTATTCTACCATTCTTGAAGACATTCAAATCATCTTTGTGGCTCTTTTTCCACGCCTCAAACTGTTTAGCTGAAACGGCGGACCGAAGGTCTCTATCCCAGTCTTTCGCATCTGGTGGCTCAGATTCACGGAGATCTAATAATTTCACTGAAGCAACAGACTGTGGAAATTCTATAGCAGTTCGAAGAAAACTCCATAGACAATATCCCGAGTGCTTATACTTGTCAAAGCTCCAGGACTCATATACAAGCGGCATAGCGTGTTTGTACAGAATCCTCGAAGTTTTTCCAAACCGCACTCGATCGCCAACTCTTACAAGATGGAATAGGATTCGAGTAATTATTTCTCGTGGTAGTCCTCCAAGAACATTTTTACGTCTGTTTGGACCCATTGTATTAATGTCATATTCCGACGAATCAACTTCCTCCTCTTTTGTTAGCATATCTTCGAAAACAGGTTTAGATGGACCAGGCTCACGTCAGATTCTGCAGCGACTCTCCTTAAAAGAATCGTTTATGACAGCTTGTAGCGATAGAACTGTGGGGTAGCCTTGGTGTTTGAAGCAGATTGAGCATTAATCATTTGTGTTAAGTTAGATTTCAAGTTTGTGTAATTGTTTGAAATGAAAGATCTCATGTAAATTGAATGAATGTTTGTAAGTGCTATCTAAATGGGAGAACTGAATAACACATGTTAAGTGTGTAGTTCTTTCTACATTGAATGTGATACTTCGATGACGACCGCTGCTTCCTTCGCTTCCACTAACCTAACGCCAATTGCTCGGCACAATAATGACAGAATTACCGTGAATGGTCACGTGAAAGCCTAGGAAAATACAATTCTGTCCCAAGGTACCACCATACCTAGGTACTCAACTCGAGAACAAACAGAAACACAAATCATACAATCTCCGATATGTTCGAGATCTCATTGAAATTGATGATTGTAGATCGAAAAGTGGTCTCTATTGCATGTTTCGGTAAGAACCACACAAATACTGGATGCTTATTGGAAGGATTAAGTATGCAGCCAATTCGAGTGTGCAGGAATGCGATTACAAGAGCTGAACAACGCAACTTGCTTATCGTATGAACAATATTGTTACACATAGTTGTCGATCTTCCGATTCGTAGCTGTGCATGAAGTCATTTAGTGCAGTGACGGAATTTCCGCTTTATGGGGAGTTTTCATTGGTTGGTGATATGTCTAGAAGGGGATCTAATATTGTGGGGATGTAGATGAGGGCTCTTTATATCCTCATACCCCGCGCAAAAGAACTTTCTGCTTTTCATCTTTCAGTACAATGCTACATTGGCCAAAATGAAAGTCTTCACTGTTTTATCTGGTCTGCTGTCTCAAGTCAACCCACTGATATGCGTGTATGCCATTGCTGTATACACATTCACTCTGGTTATATATAGACTATATTTCAGTCCTTTGGCTAAATTTCCTGGTCCAAAGTTGACAGCTGCGACTGAATGGTATGAAATCTACTATCAGCTTGTGAAAGGTGGACAGTTCTTTCGAAAACTTCCTGAATGGCATGAAAAATATGGTTCGTCTTGAGATCTAATTTCCTTCCTATACTAATAATTGAAAGGCCCAATTGTTCGCATCAATCCTACGGAGCTCCATATCAGTGATCCTGAGTTCTATGACACAATATATACTACCGATAGACGCGACAAGCTGCCTCTTCATTCCTCTCTTCCTACCGTCCCGTTATCTGGTCAATCTACCCTAGATCACTTCCTTCATCGAAAACGACGTGCCGCGCTCAATCCTTTTTTCTCTAAACCTAACATTCAAAAATTTGTTCCATTCATCCAATCACGTGTCGACACTTTGGTTAATCGTATTAATACCGAATACAAAGGAACCGATAAGATTCTTGATCTTGGAGATGTTTTCTCTTGTTATACGACAGATGTGGTGATGGAATGTAGTTTTGGTACTAACTATAATTTTTGCGAAAAAGGAGAGTTTACCTCGGATTTTATGGTGGCTGTCGCCGGTATGTTATCTATAGTGCACTGGACAGAGCATTTTCCAAGTATAGCATGGTTGATGAACATGGTGCTTGCTTTACCATACAGCGTGCTGAAGAAGGTTGTGCCGCAAAAATCAATGCCTGTTTTGGAGTGGCTCGAGGTGATTTATGTAATCAATTTAAGAAGATATTGATACTGATGTTTAAATAGGACCTTAGACATGAATTGAGAGCAGTGATGTATGGAACCAAGGAGAAGAACGATGCCTCACGGCCAAACATATTTCACGAGATCATAGAATCTAATCTTCCTCTTGAAGAGAAAACAGAGCAGAGGCTTCATCAAGAGGCACAAGTAGTGGTCGGTGCGGGTGTTGAAACGACAAAGTGGACGCTAGCAGTCGCAATGTTCCATCTCCTTGACAAACCGGACCTTCTCACCAAACTACAAGCTGAAATACTTGAAGTCTTTCCAGATCCCTCCTCTCCACCTTCACTAACAACCCTTGAAAAACTGCCCTATTTAATTGCAGTCTGTCAAGAAGGTATTGTAAATACCGAATCCGATGTACATCACGCGTAATTTCTGACACAATTGATTTGAATAGCAATTCGTCTTTCCATGGGACCAGTTCAACACCTTCCACGGCTAGCACACAAACCTCTCCCATATACAGATCCAGCGACAGGACATACTTACACAATTCCCGCTGGCACTCCACTATCCTGTGCTACACCAATCATCCATTACAACGAAGCACTCTTCCCATCCTCTCATTCTTTCATCCCCGAAAGATGGCTCCCAGATCCCATCACTGGTCTACCGCCTAAAGTCACAATACCTTCAGGAGAAGAAAAACCACTCACAAAATATCTTGTCAGTTTCTCGAAAGGGAGTAGACAATGCTTAGGAATGAATCTAGCTTATGCGGAGTTATATATTGCACTTGCGAGTTTTGTCCGAAGATGCGAGTTTGAGTTGTGGGAAACGAATCAGGAAGCGGTGGAGATTTGGTCGGAATATCTCATTAATGTTCCTAAACCGGGGACTGGAATTAGAGTGAAAGTTCTTTGATAGAATGGGAAGGAATGGGGTGAAAGAGCAGTGGATGTTAATTATGTGTATGTGGAATGTTGGAACGTTGACAATTGGCGGTGGTTGCTATGTGTGGTCCTCGATTCTTCTGAACTGCCATACGGTATCGGTCAGACAACCTGAATTTACAATTTGAATTTACTTCAGGATTCTAAAATATAGATTGACGATCCATGAATCCAAAATTCGTCGTGCGCTTTCCACACATATTACTTTCGACAACGAAAAAGACCTCGCAGTTTGCTGTTCCACCTGAATTGTCAGATCACTGAAGCGATTGTAGCTAAAGAAACAGCCATGATCATCGAGATAGATGTGCTTGACAAGAGACTAGTAACTCATCAACCTCATTGGTTGAATCTCCTACAATACTCGCGTACTCTGAACACGCGACCAGTGATGCCTCCATCCCATTTTGCTCCATTCAAAGTACAAATCACACATGATCGCGCAGAAAATTGCACAAAAAATTGCACAAAACCAGAGCAAACCCAATCAACCGTGACTCACCAAAACATCATTCCTCTAGTTCTAAACTCGACTATCAATCCAAGATTCACACACACCAAAAAGAAAGGGGTTTTAACAACCCGATACATTATTGATAATGCTGATTGATGCCATATCTGAGCTTTCTCATCATGGAAATAGCGCATACTCCAACCAGACTTCTCGAAGCATGATTATCGCATTACGAAGCGACTGATCATCACCCAATCTCCTCTCCTCAATTAACCTTACCGATCTCGGCTCGCTTGTATTTCCAATCACTATTAATTACCAAACTCCATTTTCCATGTCCCCATCTATCTATCCCAAATTCCAATCCAATCCAACCCATTCCTTTCCTTCCATTCCCTCCCTCCCTCCCATCCCATCCTAACACAAAGTCAACAATCCCCCAAACGCCACCCCCAACGCCATCACCGCCTGTTTTCCCACACTTATCCCCCTCCCCTCCCCTGCATCTCCCTTCTGACCCCCTTTCTGCAAATACACCGACAGCGTCCACGATCCGCCACATATCTGGCTCGTGTTTCCTTTACATGGGAGATCGCATTTCGCGTCGTCGACTTTGGAGGCGAGGGCGGAGAGATATTGTGCGCAGTAGCATTCTCTTTGGGAGGTGTTAGTTTGTATTTTGTTATGTGGTGATGTGCTATTTTTGTATTGGGAGGAAAGGGGGGGGGGGGATGACGCAAATTAAATCACAAAGAAAAATAACAAACTAACCTCGTATATTCAATCCCCGCATACGCATAGCCGTTTGATTTGCAAAATGCCATACACAGCGGTACCGTCATCACATCGAGCGCTTCCGTGACGCCGCCGTTGAGAGAGCGTAATCCGCCCGTGGTATTCGTGTGGAGGGTTTCGGTGTAGCAGCCGAGATAGGTGTATGAGGATGCGCTGGGGATGATGGTGGCTATGGTTGTGGAGGTGGAGGATGAGGAGGTGGTGGATGTTTGGGCGAGGGTGAGGGTGGTGAGGGAGAGGAGGGAGAGGAGGAGGGAGAGGAGGGAGAGTGCTGGAGTCATTTTGTTGGTGGTATTGTATTGTATTGTATTGTATTGGTTTGATGGATTGGTTTCTTTTTTCTTCTTTTGGGGGAAGATGTATGTTTGTATGTAGTAAGAATACACAAAATAACAACAATATCCCAAAGCGAACAGACAGCAACGATAACTCGAAGCAAAGCAGAGTCACTAATATAATATCAGAAGAAAAATACTCAACAAGATGCAGACCAAACCAAACCAAACAGAAGAAAGAGAAATATATCAACCCTAGCAATTAAATCACAGCACAGCATTTCTTTCAACTTCCCCATCCCAATTCCATTTTCTGGCATGGCAAGCTACAAACAATGTGGAAAGTGTGGCCGAGACTTTTTGTTCAGCGCGGGAGATCGACGGCTGGGTGCTTGATAGTTTTATTTATTAAACTTTATGTGGATTGGGGGTTGAGTGAGGGCTTGGGCTTATCGATAGTGGGGTATGATGGCGAGGTTTTGGGGTTTCGGGGATGGATGATGATAGATGACAGGAGGGGTGGGTAATGAGTTTTTATATGATGATGATGATGATGATGATGATGATGATGATGATGATGATGATGGTAATGTCGTAGGATTCTTGTGAATTGGATGGAGATATAAATTACCTTCCGAAGAGTTTTCACATAATGTTATATTCCAATTCTTCTACGATAATCCGAGTGAAGTGTACCTAATAAACAAAAACCCTTACTGGTAAGGTCAGTAGCTCAGACATCCATGGATATATCCCAACAGTACGAGAGTACCTAGCTCCCTGCTGTAGGACCCAAACACGAAGAGAAATCTCTTCAACCCTGAATACGAAGACGCCATGTAAGCACAGAGAATCCGAGCGTACGACCATATATATCCGAGATATCCAATGGATGTCTTTGCAATTCCCCCAATGCGCGATGCGTGGATGTATTTTGGGATGGTTGCTAGGGAATTCGTGGATTCTATTTATATTACTCGTAAGCTGGTGGTAATTATAATTAAGGTTATGAGTTCCCCTGGATTTTGCTGTATTGGGAAGGGGTGGAAGAGCGGATTGGGAGAATTGGGAGAATTGAGGGTGATGGGTTTGAATTGTTGAATTGTTGATATAGTGTATGTTTTGGACGGGCTCGACGGGTTAGGTGTTGTACCGAGGCCGATAACGCGCATTTGGCACAAACCCCAAAAATAGATTTCTGCCTAAGCTAAAACCCAATTTAGAATTTAGTAGTGTGTATTTAAGAATAAGGATTCTTTAATCCAGTATACAACTTTAAAGAAATTGATAAAATAAACAGAAAAGAGATATTATTATTAATTAAAACTCAAGGAATCGATTGATATAATTATTTTTGAATTATCTCAAAAATTAGAATTTATATTCAATATAGAAATATTGTAACGAATTTGAAAAAAAGTTGAATTTTAATATTTAGTTTCTTATTCTTCAAATACTTTTAAATTTAATATAAATTTGAATTTTTGAAATAATTCAAAAGCAATTATATCAATCGATTCCTTGAGTTTTAATTAATAATAATATCTCTTTTCTTTTTATTTTATCAATTTCTTTAAAGTTTTATACTGAATTAAAATATTCTGTTTAGTATTAATCATATTACTCAAGTTTTGATTAGTCATTAAGCCTAATAATTAAGATATCAAAATGAAATAGATTCCTAAGCATAATAAAAATAGTTAGAATTGAATACAAATTTTGATTATCGAGATAATTTAAAAAGAAATGTATGAATCGATTCCTTAAATTCTAATTAATAATTGGATTTCTTTTCCTTTTATTTTATAGATCTCTTTAAGGTTATGTACCGAATTGAATTCTTTTTTTTTCAATATTATAGAAACTATCTAAAGTTATATTAGTTATACGATTTAAGCGAGATAAGCTTGGGTTCGAGCTTCAGATAAGGATTCTTACTAAGCTTATCTCGCTTGTTTCGCTTATTCCGAAATAATCTATATATTATAAGGAAAATTATTTTATTATAAATTTTAAATATTAATACACTTCCTATAGAGAATTCCGAAATGAATTCTAAAAATATATAAATAAAGCTAATGTCAGGGAGCGAGCACCTGACAGGGTTTATATAGTAGATCCACTGTTCCGAACGTATTCGGAACACTCTACGCTTTTGTGGGTTAGTAGTAAAGTGAATCAACCCTAACAGCTAACCCTAAAGGCTATTTGATGATATAATTTATTTTATAAAGTATCTTCAATAAGATTGAATTCTATCTTTCTTTATAAGATTTCTAAAAACACACTATACAGATTCTAAAATTTCTTTTTCCATTAGACAAAAATCTATTTTTGGGTTTTATACCAAATGCGCGTTATCGGCCTCGGTAGTTGGCGTTGTTTTTATTATGGAGTAGAGCTTTTAGATTAGAGGGTTGTATTTTGATATAATTTTAGTAGATGATACTATGTTGATGTCAAGAGTACTCGAGTATATTATATAATAGGTCTCGGTATGATTATTATTATCAGTCTGAAGAGTTAGGGCTATATATAATACTTTTCTTATTAAAATATAAAGTCATTTTTCTTTTTATATTATAGTTTATTTATTTTAATAAAAGGAAAAATTAGAAGTTATATTATAAAAAAATTGAAATCATTAAAATTATTCAAAAAATATATCATTTTTTTTATAAATATTTTTATAATAATATATTTAAAAGATTAAAATTAGAAATTCAAAAAAGTTTGAAAAAAGAATTATTTTATATAGAAAAAGCATTACAAATTAAGAATTCTAAGCCTTTTCAATTAAAAGCTTATATAACTTTTTAACAAAAATAATTAAAAATAAATTAGAAATTTTCTTATATATAATAATTTAGATTATTTATCTTAAAGTTTTTATAATTTAATATCAAAAATCAAACTAATTATATCATATTTTAGTTTATATAATTTTTTTTATAGAGATTATGTTATAAAATATTACAATATATGATGAGCGATGGTGTCACGGCGCCAACTATATTGCCTTCATGCCTCAGGCATATACTATTAGTATACCCTACTTTCTATAAAAAGGCCTTATCCTTTTATAGCTCTTTCACCTTTATAGTATAATATAAGTCTTTATTCGTATCTTGACAATTTGTATTATTTTTTTAGAAACTATTCTAACTTTATTTTTATTTCAAATCCATTAAAGTTTCGATTTGATTGAATCAATCAGATTCACCACCACCTCGCTATATACCCTAATTACCACCGTTTTAAATCTTAATTATAATTATAACTAATTAGGTATTTATATCTAATCTATTCCTTTAATTTCTATTCTTAAACCATATCCTTAATTCTATTAAAATTAATATTTTTCTATTTATAAATTTATTTAATAATTCAAGTACTATATATTTTATAGTTATTCAAATTATATTTAAATTAATTGAATTGTATACA